TGACTGTAACTGACTTGCAATAAAGCAAAACAAAACGGAACTAACAGAAACACACACGCATACACTGACAGAAATAGAGGCTTAAAGAGGACTAAGAAGAAGAAATGGCACGTAGCGGAGATCATTGATGAAAAAAAAAGAAGAAAAAACACCGTTACGATGCAACAATGTCATTAAATCCGGCGAGACGGCATTCCATATAATCAACAACTACAACAACTGAAGCGCTCTCGAGCGCCAGACAGCGATCAAGACTGAGAGCGAGCGGGATGGAAGGCGACCAACGACCGACCGACATTTTTGCAAATTCACACAAACACCGGCACAGACTATCACCATCTCGCTCTGTCTGCCCACAAAGTAATTGATCCATTGCACTTATGCTTTTTTTTTCTTTCTTCTTGTTGCTTTTGGCTAGGCCATCGCTTGTCTCTGCTTTCTCTTTGCTAATGCATTCTTCTGCGAAAGTCCCCAAGTATTGTCTATCGATAAGTTATTGCCCTGACCCATAATATGCAATTGCTCACCTTTGATGTTCATATTTTAAGGCATATCTTTCATAAATTACAGTTATCTGGTGGAAATTGATTAAAATGTAGTACAAATGTATATTTAGAGTGCAGCAAATAAAATTGTTGCCCTTGGGGGCCATTAGTGAATATAACGTAGCCCGGATCTAAATTCCTTTTCATTCAACGAGGCTGAAACACCACGAAATACATTAAGTAATTAGATAAAAGTGCGGTTTTTAATTAAATTTACCTACTGAAGCATACAAATAATTCAAATTACAAACAGCATGGCTCCATTAATTGCATTTTGTGGCTGCTGCTCTACATACTACGATATACACCTGCTCCTCTTATTTTTTAGGCATTTAAGCGGGCGGGGTGGCTGGCTGCTAGTAGTGCAAGCATTTTTTACTACGAAATGCAATTGAAAGTACAGGCTACACACTATGTGCTCTATGTAGATGCATGTACATACATACATACATATGTACGGGTTATATAACCCTATTTATGTTGGCCATGTACTGACTGGGTGTTGGCATGCCCCAGAAGTCGTCGCATTGCAACGCAGTCTCTTCTTCAGCTGCAATCCCGCTTTTTGCTCTGCTCCATCTGCAAAAAGGTTGCCAGATGCCAATGGCCTAGTGCACTGCAACGCCACCCAGCGACCTCCGCCCGCCCAGTGCCACGCCCCTGTCCAGCAGTGTCCGGACTTGATGGAAAAACAGAAGGAAAAAAAATTGGATTTTGCCGGGCCAACAACCGTATTGCGCAGCTGCCAAGCTGAATGCCCATTTTCTGTATAGGATTTTTTTTTTGGGAGGGAGGAAGGACCGGCCGCCACCCCGTCGTTCCATTCGGAATCGTCATCGGCTGTGAAACAGCTGCCTACCAGGCGCCAGACAGACGCCAAAAAACGCTGGAAATGAAATGGCAATGAAACACTCCCGGAAACCACCCACAAGAAGCTCTCAGCACAGTTACCACCCACAATTTTCCACAGCTGTGCGAGTGGTGTGGGCTCCCATCAGCACAGCAGGCGAACTAAATGTTGGCGCCATTGTCCTATCCATCCCATCATCCCGCGCCCCATCCCATTATCCTCTTTTATGCCATCTTCTTTTGGGGGTAGGTAGTAGCTTTGGCGCGCGCTTTTCCTTGGCAGCCACTGGAAAGGAATCGATATTGTATTGTATATAGAAAATTTTCCAGCTTTGCGTCAGTCCCGCGCCTTTGCTCGCTCGCTCGCTCTCTCTCCCTCTCTGTCTGGGCAAGGTGTGTACTGTGTGGAGTACACAGTGTACAGTGAACACCTCCCCACCCACTTTAATGTAGGTTAGTTCAGCTGGGGCGCGCCTAAATCTCAACACAGAGAGAAATAATTCGAAGTAAGCTGCAGTAAGTAATGAAAACTTTTCCAACGCAGACAAATATCCTTAATCAGCATTTATTTACTATGTTTACCATAACTATAAGGTGAAATAAGAAGTTAATATTGAATCTTTACCCACTAAATAGCTAAACTTGGCTTTTTCTGTCAGCTTGTTTTAAAAATTTGAATTCTGTAAGTTTTCGCATAATTCTTCCTAAGGATTACATTTATTTTACAGTGTACTTTTCGAGTAGTCACAATAACAACAATGGGGGCAACTGTACGCAATTGCACATTTGCACTTTAGCGCCACCTAGCGCGCAAGTTCAATGACCTGCCGCCAAACAGTGGGCGGCGAGAGAGAGAGAGGAAGAGTGCGAAAATAGAGAGAGAGAGAGGAGAGCCAAGAGTATAAATCACAGGCTTGCATTCGCTATATTTTCCCCCATCCCCCCATCCCATTCCGCCCACCTTAGGGCGTGGCTGTATGTGTGCTGCTCGAGTGTCTCTGCCATATACCGTTATGTGCGTGTGCCTAACCTGTGAATGGTTTCAGTCGTTGCAGCTTTCTGTCAGCCAGTATTGCAATTTGTTTTCTCGCACTTTTGTCGTGTGTGTAAGTGTGCTGAGGAATGTTGGTTGTACTTAATCTGCATACATATGTATGTACGTGAAGGAATTATGTTGTGTATTCGAGCGATCTACTTTCATTCTGTTATAGAGTTAATCAAAAAGGTTAGAAATAACAGTGTTTCTCAATAAAGTCAAATATTTCAACCAGATTGTATGTACATAGCATAGCTAGCGTAAACTTGGTCAAGCAATTGCAGTTGTCTCTTTTTCCCACGCCCTTTTCCTCCCACTGCACCTATACCCTTCTCTTTCGCATTGCGTTTACCCATCCCTTTCGCACGTATTTACTACAATGTTTACTATGTGTGACACTGGCGTGAGAGGAGGCGGCAGGGCATCGTTTGTAATCGTCGCCGTTGACGAAGTGCATAGAACAAAAATCCATAAACTACTTGCACTAGTCCGCCCCTCTTTCCACACTCTTCCCATCATTCTCTCTCTCACTCTCATATCCGCTATGCATCTCTGTCTACGCCCATTATGTCATTCATCAGGCGCTGTTGTCGTCCCCTGGCTTTTGCTGTTGGCTGTGCTGTTACTCTACCCCTTTTCCTTTTCGCCTGTCGTAGTATTTTTAATATTTACGCGCCTGCCTTTCTTCCTGTTTGCATTTTTCCCTCCTGCCTTGTTTATACTGCTGCTGCTGCTGCGTCTTATTACATTGTTTCTCTTTTGTTTGCCTGTTATCGCCTTTCTTTTTTGGGGGGCCAGAGACTGATTTACGAGCATTGCCAAGTATCAGTTGACACTTTTCAATTTGCAATAAATAAGAGCGAGCCTTGGCTAAGAGCTGAGAAGATATTCACGAAACGAAGGGAAACTATTAAATAGGAAATGGCAGTGTTGGACAGGGATTTGTGAAACAAAAGGTTCAATGTTGAACATCAGAGTGTGTTACAAATTTCTTTTTCTCTTTGTAATTCAATTTCGAATAATAATTGTATGTATATAAATTTGTGATCATAAATAATTAAATAATTCTTGTAAACCTACAGAGAATAAAATGATTCGAAATAAATTTAAGAAGTTCATTGAATCCCTTATTTATATGTAGTGTCTGTGAATTTATTTTGCTTTAATTTTAATCCTTTCTCAACCATAATTCAATATTATTTATTATATTACTTTCTTAATAATTTGTTATGTCTTAGCTGTATTTTAACCATTCTTTTTCTTAACGACACCAGACATAAACCACCATAAATAAGAAAAGAAATAACTCGCATCTCTCTTTTTTGTAATCTGACAATTTCGTTGATTTACAACCGTCTGCTAACTTAATTGCGTTAAAATGAGAGGCAGACATGTTCGTAAGAAATATCTCCCTAGGACCTTTGAGCACTTGAAAACGTGTCAGAGTCCAGCCCACTAAGTGCTTTAGGCCCGGCCAAAACCCTGCTAGCAAGGCCGTTCGTTGTTCTACCGGCCAGGCTAGCTGAAGCTTCAGCTTCTTCTTGGGCCGTTTAGTACACACGCGTCACAACAAATCGATGTCGTCTCAAGGTGAAAATCCCATAAATATGAGAGCATGTGTATGCAAACATAAAGCTGAACAAAATATGTGCGGCGTAAAAAGGAAAAAGCGAAACGCCTCCAACAACAAACAATTGAGACGACGATGACGATGACGACGCCGCCGACACGGTTGCCCTGACGACTAAATGTCAAAAAGGGACCTTCAAAGCTTCAGCACCTTGGTCGTCCCCACATTTTATCCACCCCCAACAAACCGTCATTCACTTTTTTTTCTTCTCAGCTGGAAGCTTTTAGCCAAGTTGCGTGTGTGCTTGGTTTGCCTTTGCCTTTGCCTCTTTTTGTTTTTTCACCAGGAGTCCCCGTCATCGTCGTCGTCGGCAATTTGTCAACATGTGTTTGTGGACGGCCCTGTAATTGAGGCCCAAAACCAAAAAACCCCAAGCTCTCAGTCTCCATTTCGGCTTCGGCCTCTGGTTAAATGTAATTGGAGTTGCGTGCCATGGTTTAAAAATAAAAAAAAGGGTAAGAAATCAAAAGGAGACAGCTGAGATACCGACAGACTCGAATCTCTGACCAAAAATGGTGTTGATGATGGGCTAAAGACAACCCAGAAAAACTGGCTGACCAATCGGAAACTGAACTGACCAGGGGTAATAATTTTCACACGTCCCATATTACAGATTTTTAAATTGGCTGTCTACAAATCAGCAATTGGGAAATTATTGATATTATTATTAATTAATGCATTAAGATTTAGGAAGATTTCCTTTAAAAAAACGGAGTTCAAAGATTATAGATATTCTAACATCACGAATATATATGTTAGATAGATAGATAGATATATGGTGTCGGAAATGATCCTTCACTGCGTTACAAGCTTCTGATTAAATTATAATACCCTGACAGAGTATTAAAATGGAGGCTAATCAACCAAATAAAATAATTAAGTTAAAGATCTGATACGCCTGACAAGCTTAATAGATTACTAATAGTTGTATATATCTTACCTTGCTCAACTTTTCGCCCTCGTGTCTGGGTAGCAGGGATCGCAGGCTCTGGAAGCCAGCATTGATGCTCTGCATCCGTCTCCTTTCGTTGCTGTTGGCAATTTCCCGTCGCATACGCTTTTCGCTGTCCTGCATTGGTTTTCCAGAGCAATCACCATCGCTCATCGCTCCTCCGCCGCCGCCGCCTCCTCCGCCGCCACCTCCTCCACCCTTTGAGGTGTTGGTTCCGCTCATGCTAGATTGACGCCGCTGCGAACCGGAGATCTGATGGGCCGACTCGTTAGTATACTCGATATGATAGGTGTTCTCGCCCCCTGAATCTTCTAGTTGTAATCTGCAAGATAAATATTAAAAAGATGATAAAAGAATTAGTCATATTATACACTGTTTGTAGAACTTATGATTCACAACAGATCACTATTTATCGATCAACAAGAGTCATAGTAATAGTTCTAAAAGTTATTTTAAAGCTTTAAAATATTAATCAAGTTCTAATTACATAAAAAACCTTTTTTTTTATCATTCTCTTTGGTAATATCTACTGCATTATTTATAGCGTTTGGCTTATCGCTTCGCCCATACATAAAACCAATTAACTTTTACATTTATACAATAATCCACGACGAACACACAAACTCACACAGAGACAACATGCACGCTCTGCTCACAAAAGCGCTGAAAAATTCATTCATTCATAAATTTACAATTCCATTCAATTCAATTTTAGTTTAACCCGCCGACGCTACACAGCAGCAGAGCAACAGCAACAACAGCATAACAACAGAGAGCCAACACACACACATAGGCCCAACTCTGTTGTTGTCACGTTAGCAGCAGCAGCATCTGACTAAGCGCAAATTGATTCAGGAGAATACTTTAATACCCTAACCTATCTCAATACAATATGAATTGATTTGATTTTTTTTTTTTTTTTTCAAAAGAAAGATTTGCATAAATGAAGCATTATGTGTGAATAGTTATATACAAAAATATATATATTTAATAAATAAATTACTCATTATTCAATTTAATTTCATTTAGTATTTTGTCAACTAATAGTTCTTAATTCAACATATAATTTATAATACAAATGTATCTATACCCAAAAGAAAGACAACCTTAATGGAAGTGTAGACGTACTCTAACCGTTATAGGGCATCAACTACTGCACTACACACACATGGCATCAGCAACATGTAAGAGAGGAACGAGCGAGAGAGACGACGAATTGGAGAGCTGGAGAAAGAGAGCTAGCTGCTAGCACACAGCTGTCAATAGTATGGGCATTCCTCTTTTTGTTATTGTTGCCACCATCGCCGGTAGTTGTCGTGATTGTGTTGTTTTCTTTTTTTTTTTTTCCGTTTTCGTTTTTCTGCTTTCTGTTTTGTCGGTTTTTGTTCGTTCGTTTTGGTTCGCTTAGGTTTGCTTTGGGTTTTTGGTTCGTATTATTTTGCAGCACTTTTTCCTCTTCTTCTTCGTTGTCCGGGGTTTTCAAACTATGTATTTATGTATGTTTGTACATACATATGTATGTTTTTATGCTGCAGCCTGATATGTTAGGTTATGTACGATCATCCATCCAGCGTCTCGAAGACGCGAGGTCTCACAAGAATTCCAAACCGGTTTTACCCCCGATGAAACACGTTTTTCACAGTCTTTGCTGCCATTGCCTGCAGGCTAATGAAAACAATTTTCACAATGGTATGCTCCGCCAGCAACAGAACAACAACAATAACAATAACATCGCTAGAGAGTTAAAAGTTGCAACACTGCATTCCGCTGCAAGAACCAAGCTGCTGCTGCTATGCTCCTCCAAAGACGATGCTAGAAAAATCACAGTCTGACCTCGTTAAGAGTGAACATAAACCATAGGATTTTTGTGAATCTCTTATCTAGAGTTCGTTATGGTAGGAATATTTATAAGATCATAAAACGAAAGAAGAAATTATTTTTTAAAGCATTAATATACAATAAATATTAGATTTAAGATCAGACATGACTAGATCGATCAGCTGTTGATGCGATCAAGAATAACTGAAATTATAATACCCTGCAAAGGTAGAAACCATCAGATCAATATTTTGAATAACATCTATTAAAACATCTCAAATGTTTGGTTCTAAATCGAATAATAACTCTAACACAATTTAAAGAATCCCAATAACTCTAAGAACAACTAACACTTTCTATCAATAAAAGTTCGATTATTGAAGTTAGACTGTATTAGAGACGCCGTCTCGCTGGTTGGGTTTATTTTTAGCAACATCATCCAAAGGTCGTTCTTCTCCGGCAGCATTTTTGTGGCAAGTGCGCGCGATAGAGACGGGAAACGACGCCGAATGCCACACGGCTGCTGCTGCTGCAGCCAAAGTTGGTCAACAGCGGCGGCGGTAGGCGGATGTTGTGGCAAGAGGCAGCGCACAGCAGAGTGAAGCTGCAATGGAATGTGGCTCGGATCTCGGGATCTCGGCACTTGTGCCACCAGCTTTTTGGCATCTTGTTTGTTTTTGTTTGCACAATATAAAAAGCCGAAAAACGCTGAATGAAAACCGCGCGGAGAATGTTGCATGCTGCATGTGGTAGCAACATCTGTTTCGGTGCTTTCCTTGGGCGGGGCGGTATATACATATGTATGTGTTTGTACATAAATTTTGGTACTTTATGAGGCCCAACATAATTATTCCAGCTATGCAAGGCAGCTCAAAAGTCGTACAAAACAATATAGAATAGGTGTCTTAAGTGTTTATTAAGTTAGCTTATTGTGGATTGCATTAATTTTTAAACTTTTTTTATCTATATTTATGTAGAAATTCCAATCTAGAAATATTTTGTTTAAAATTTAGAAGGTAAGACCTTTTAAAGTTGACCACATATTCACTTTTATTATTATCTTTACAATTTCTTAGTATTCTTCATTGATTGAGTTCTGATTGATGTATTCCTTGAAAACTATTTTCGTATTATCTAGATTTTTTGGGCGCTTCAATGAATCTATTTTAGCTTTTCCTTTGTTCCCCATTAGAGGCGTTGCAACAGCTGTTTACGGAATATCTAATTTATTTATAGAAGCTGCTAGAAATGCGTTTGTATTAGGAGCTTGCCTGTGCAAGAAAACATTTTCCGAGGTGTTTGATATTAATATGTTTGCATGAAGGGAACAATAATAAATAATACTAATAATAATAAGAATAAATAATAATAATAACAACATATGACGGAGCAATCAACGACAGCTGACGCTGCTGCTGCTGCTGCTGCTCGTGGCCCCAGAGTTCAATGTAGTTCATTGGCCACTTTTTCGCCCGAACGAATACATAGAGAAGATACGAGTGATAAACCTGGGGGACAGGAGAGAGAGAGAGGGAGAGAGAGAGATACAAAAGCCGAAGTCACGAGCACCATCGAGAGTAGTGAGTGGCCCACCTCATGGAAGTGCCACCCACCCACTCACCATCACACCCCGACCCACACAACTGCTGTTGCACTTTGCACATAAATTGTACATACTGTTATTGGGTCACCGCTTACGTCATCATTTCACTGGAAATTCGTAAAGAGTTGCAGCAGTCGTCGGCACATTCGATTCATAAAAGATAAACACGCTATTATATAACCTTAGAATAAAGTAAACAAAATGCTAAGGTAGCTGCTCCCAAATCAATAATTATAATTCTTGTCAGAAAGTACAACGCGCCCGTTGGGAAAATTCTAGACAGTAGAATTGGGATAAGGGTTATCAATAGTGTTTGAGAAAAAAGCTAAGCAGATCTGGAAAGGCAATATTTAACTTTAATTAAATGACAAGAACTTTGGGGTTAATAAAAATATCCATATCCCATGTTTGACTTTATATCAATGCTAAATGTTGGGAATCCCCTGAGTATGCAATAAAAACTTAGGAAATCCCTATGCAATTCTCATTTGCTTGTGTGAAACGGTAGCTATAAACTTACGAGCAGAAGTGTACAGTGAAAAGCAAGAGAAAAATGAAATGCAACGCAATAAACCTCCCCACTTGCGTAACTGTGCAACCCATAAACTAATGATCAAATTAGAATTCCCCACTATTCCCTACACCGCACCTTACATTTCTCATTTTACAGTTGTGTCTACCAGTTGGCGCCACATTTTGCAATAAAAAGTATAAACAAAGCAAAGGGAAAAAGATTAAAGAGAAATTGTATACGGAAAAGGTAATAAAAAGCAAATTAACGATCTAAAGAGTAAAATAATAGTTGGTATATTTTTATATACAAAAAAAAATATATAAAAAAAAATATTAAGAAACTAAAATATCAGAAAAAAAAGTGACGATTAATGTTAAGAAAAAAGTCCGATCGTAAAGGAAACTGTAAACTCAAGTTGTGTATTTTCAAAATATAACAAAAGCTGCTTTACTTTAAAACTTTTGGAGATAAAATTGGAGAGGTTCCTGAATAATGCAGTGAGCACGGAGGGAAATAAAGAGGGAGTACGGAATTGGATACTATATCGTGTAGTAGCGCAGTAGTAGTAGTTGTGCTATCGTTTTCCCTCATCCTCTTGCTCTTCTCCTTAGCCTCTGCTCCAAGAAAAAGTGTTGTACACAAAAATCATGTGTTTTTCATAAACAAGAGCGCTCTCTATCTCCTTTGCACACCGTTCCTCCATCTCGGTCGCTCGCAGGTTGCCAATATAAAATGCCGCATGCAAAAACAAAAAAAAAATGTGGAAACGAAACGACATGAAAACAAAATGAAACGTTTTGGCATGTGAAACACACACGGAGCCATCGCCCAAAAATTTGCGCAGCAGATTTTTAGCCATGTGTTGGTATTAGTTTTCAGTTCGCTTCGGTTTCTTTCTTTCAGTCACTCAGTTTTTTTTTCTTATTTTCAGATTCGCAAATTTGCAGCGGCTTTTTAGGTTTAGCTTTTGTGTATATGTTTTTTCAATGAAACGTGTGTGGTAGTAAAAACAGAAAGCATTCAAATGTGTGTGGCGGCATCTGTACTTTTGCGAATCCAGAGAGCGCGTTACTCTCAGCTGCCTTCTCTCTCTCTCTTGCTCTATCAAGCTTTTTTGAGTGCAACTCAATAGCGCTCTCTCTCTCTCTCTCTGCCTCTTGCTCGCTGCTTTCGCTTATATACATTGGAGTCGCTGGGGATTGGAGACTTTTAGCCAAGGCACGCTCTTTTATTTTAGCACCAGTAGAAGCAACAACAACACTATCCAAACGGCGAACAGCAGCTGCTAAAACGCAGTTGTGTTATACCGCCCACACTGGTGGCCAAAATAACAAAGCCACCTCCTACAGAGATCGTGATGCTTTTTAACAGTTATTTCCGGCCCCATGTGTTTTAATTTTTTCTGAATTTATTATTTATGTATATTCTTTGTATTATTAGCAATTAAATATTATTTAAAATTCACAAAAATATGTTCAAATTATATTAAAAAATTTTATGAAACTTACTAATAATTTATATATTTTTTTAAACGAAGTTGTATAATTTATAACTCAATATTATTTAAATGTAATATTTTAATTTTTTTTTTTTGTAAATAATTAAAATGTGTTTTGAATTTTCATACCTTTGTATTATTATATAATTTGTTTTAAATATTAATTAATCAAAACATCGATTTAAAAGTATTTTGTATATTAAATCTTATGTTAGTTGTTTTATTTACTGCAAGTTGTTGAGTATTTCCCTATACTTTTATTTATAAATTAAAGTGAGGTATCTAAAACTGATTTTATTCACTTACTATTATTTTTTAATTTGTAATAATTTAAACATATTGTGAAATATTTTATTTACAAGCAATTCTGTAAACATGTAGAAATTTTAGAAATTGAATGAAACTGTAAAACGAAAATGAATCCCGACAACGAATCCACTTTCCTATAAACTTTAAGTGTGAGTCAAAGCAAACAATATTTCATACTTTTTTATGTAAGCAATTATACTTTGTTACGCATTGTAAGTCACAAGTTTGCACTAATAATTAGCCATGGAAATTGCATTTAATACGAAATTCCCGGCATAAAAGAAAATTAAATAAATAATAAAAAAAAGCCTTGAAAAAAGCCAACAGCTGAAATGCGCGATTAGGGATTGAGTGTGCCAGTGTGTGGGTGCATTTCCCACTGGCGTAAGAGTGTGTGTGCCTGTGTGTAAGTGTATTGTGCGAATAAAAAACATATGCTTGTGGCGATAAGAAAAGGCGCCGCCGCTGCTTGTGACGTGTGCGAAAAAGGCAACCATATGATTCTGATAAGCACCGGCACCAAGCACCAAGCGACTATAAACTTTCGCTGCGAAAAACAAGGGTATAAATATATTCGCAAATTGATCAAAGATAGAAAAAAAGAAAGTGTATATTTTCCATTAAGAAATTTGCACCTGAATCAATCCCAAAACATATTTTATGACTGCAAAAAGAATTAAAATATTTTAAAAAAGAAATCAAATCGTACAGCAGTTCGTTTTTTTTATACCTCTAAAACTGTACATTTCACTGATATCCTGTACATTTCCCTTGTTTTCCCACATTTCTCACACTTGTTTTTGTGTGCGAGTCTCAGGTAGAAATATATTGGAAAAACAATAAAGAAAAAGAGAAGAGAAGCGTGTAAATAGAAGCAAAACCATCTGATGATACGAATATACCGGTACAGCTGATTTCATTTCAACTATGAACACGAAAAATCTTGATTAGGCAACCTAGCGATAAGCAAAGAGGTGGGTGATGGCTAAGAGGAGGAGGAGGAGGGCAGTGCGCAGCTGTTTTTTTTCTTGTTCGTTTCACCGTTCATTTCGAACATGTGAGCTAGCGCAAATTGGCAGCTGAGAGGGAGAGAGGCGGAGAAAGAGGGAGAGAAAGAGCACCGATCGCAGCTGTAACAATTAGACCAAATAATCGAGACAAAAGGAAATTACGAAAACAAAAGCATAAAGTGAATAGTTATTAAATAACGCAATTCTTCACAGAAATTTATACAGAAAAAATATATAAAAATAAACATTTATTTATTTATTATTTCATACAAACAACTGTTCGTTATGTTTTCTTTAGCAGCTGGGCTCCCTCACAATGCTCAATATTGTTACCGGCACTGTGCTTGCCGTCTGACAAATTGAGAAAACAGCAGTTTTACAATATGGACGGTATGAAGGCAGAGAGCATGAAAACAGCAACTAGCGGCGGCAGAAAGAGAGCAAAAGGAAGCGACACGGGGCGTGAGAGAGAGTAAAAGAGCGAGACACTATACACGAAAGACAGAAGTGAAAAAAAAGTAGCGTCACATTTATTCCAGCAACAAGAAACGGCATGGAAATGGAATGCGATATCTGTGTGTGTGTGCGTGTCTCTGTTCGATGGTGGTGGTTGTGTTTTTGTGCCGTATTTGTTTTGTCGGCAAAACGGCGGGAGAGAGAGCGAGAGGGAGTGAGCGCGCAAAGCAAGTAGAGAGAGAGCCAGCCGTAGTAGTAAAAAATAATCAATAATTTGCGTGATAAAAATGCAAGCCAAGCTGTTGATGTTGTTGTTTTTGCTGCCGCTGCTACTGCTGCTACTTCTCCCTTATCTTGTAAACATTTCTATTTGTATATATTCCATATTTATTTGGTAACTTGATAGGCGTGGCAAAAAAGTTGGAATAAAAACTCACTGCAACTCTTCATCCAATTCCTCGGCGCTGTTGTATTCGGCGTGTTCTAGAATAACTTCCTCCGTTTTGATGGCAACCGATCCGCCGGACATATTGTATCGTGTTTGTGTATTTGGTTATTATCGTGGCCAAAAATTTGGTGTTTCAAGAACCACGTGCACTCTGTTGTTGTTGCTGCTGTTGCCGCCGCCGGTGGACTACATAAACATTAGCGCTATTTTGCGAATTGCGCTCTGCGATCTTTATTTATAGCGCCTGTGGCCTTTTTTTTATTATTTTCTTTTGTAGGTTTTCGCACAAGCACTCACACACACTCGCGCTCGAGTCGGCGGATCGCTGATGTGTCAGCTGGTTTTTGCCGCTGCCTTCAGCTGCTTTTTGTATTTAGCGGCAAATTGTTTGCCCGTTTGCTTTGCTCACACACGCACACCACAGACAAGCACCAACACACTCACACAAACGGACACTGGGAGAGCGCGAGAGGCAGACGAGGCGCCGAAATAATATTTAGCGCGTCTTCGTCGAGAAGTTTGCCCTTTTTCATTCGCTTTTTCTGTGTTTCGCAGCTGTTTTTTATTTTTGCCAGCACACTAAAACTCACACGCGCGCGTCTAGTACATAGGTGTATGTATATAGGTTGCACTGTACGATTTTCCGATCGGCGTTGCGTCCACTGCGTTGTTCGTTATTCGGCGTGATTCGAAAGAATGAGCGGAAAAAGGAATGGCGTGGAGCGGTGCCGATATATCGATACGTTAAACATCGATGCCAAACTACATCGATGTATCGACCACATGTAGGAATTTCGATTTGACATAAAATTTTACTCCGAAAGAAGACTATGTACACAATATATGGCGGTTTAGTTTGACTATGTAAAATATAAGATAGCCACTACCAAGCCTAACAACCATTCCAAATCATCCAGTTTTGATTTTAATATTTTAAAATATCACACGTTTTTATTATTTTCAAGTATAGCAAGCAATCTATAATTAGGGTAAAGGAACGTTAAGTCCATTATCCAATCTTTTTCATTACCTAAACAATTGAAAAAACTGTTTCCTTGCGAAGTTCGCCTTGTCGAAATGAAACGATTTCTTAAATGTTATGTTACCACAAATGGAAAATTATATTATTAATAAATGTTGTATATATTTAATAAGTGTCTAAATATATCTGGTTTCTTTAATAAGTGAAAAGCAGTGTGGATTTTTGTATTGTTTCAACACTTGTATTTCTAAGTAAATTATTTTGAATTGGTAAAATTGTGCATAAATATATTGATATTTTCTTATTATTCTTATAATCTATTTATTTTTTCAAATTGTTTACCATTTATTTATAAATTAACATCAAATGACAAAATAAGGTAAAATTGCCATTGTCATTTCTTGTCATTCATTGTCATTCTTACTTTTTTAGTCATAAATGCAGGTGACCTCAACTCTACAATTTATATTTCTTAATTTTTGATATGAATTCAAATATTATTATTATCCAGCTTGGAAGCAAACAATTGTTCTGAATAATAATAAATATTTTAAAAGTTTAAAGTTTAAAGTTTTCAGACATCTACCAAAATATTACAAAAATATGAAGTCTATTTCGATTGAAATTTCGGTATAATTCGGTTTGCCAGATGCGGTCACACTGCCTAGTGAACTTTCTAGGCCGTCGAATATTTTAAAAAATGTATCGACATTTTGGAAGATCTGTTAATGTATCTGTAAATGTAAAATGTAAATAACAGCTTTGAGTGATCAAACCAATATCAAAAAATAATATTGATATATTTGTATTTTGAAAACTTTCGTTAAAAAACCACAACTACCCGACACCCGACAGCACCGAGAGAGAGAGAGAGAGAGTTCGACTCCAAAAATGAGAATTCGACCCCAAGTATCTGTAAACGTGTAAAATGGCCATCTAGACGTGTACGATGTAAAATGTTAATTAACAGCAACTTTTTCGAAACATCGATAGCAACAAAATATCACCGATAAATACTTTTTTTTCATAATATTTTGGAAAATCGTCGCAATATCCGAATTAAGTGAATAATTACTGGGATTTAACGCAAACTGAGACACAATTGATAGCGCAAGGGATTTTTGGGAGCCAGCCAAAGCCATAGAATGTAAAGATGCTAAAGTACATAAAGAGGCAAGCCAGTAAGTTGGAAGTTTTCACAACTTTCCCCCCTCCCCTTGTGGTGACACCAATTTCAAGTTTGTTTTCTTTTTGTTAAATTTTTTAGGCCGCCGTCGCAGCAGCCAAGATGCCACGGATGGCCCCGCCGCGCCCACCGCAAGCGATGATGTGGATGGGACCGACAGTGCCGTGGCGCAAAAACGTCACTCGCTGCGCTCCACAACCAGTTTCTGTGATGAGGTGTTCCTCGAGGTGGACGAGGAGGGTGGCGTCGGCGTGGGAGGAGGAGCCCTTTCCGATGGCATCAGTCTGTGTAGCAACGATGGTAATTACCGTCCCGTACAATTGTTTATCACGTTCGCACCTTAATGTTTGCTACTCAGGGTGGGAATGTCATTACATTTGGCAAAGTCAGATCCTGGAGATAACTCTGGAATTAAGTGTACAAATACTTATTAATTTCAATATCCATTCTCTTTTTTAGACATTTTTAGCTACCATTCGCGTTTGTCGATGAACCTCGCCTCCATTGTCAGCGATCCAACTGCCTGAGCTATTTTGTGCAGTTTTTGGACACTCGACAGGCCCTGCCTTTGATCAAATTCTACCTGGACATTGAGAACTTCAAGCGGGCGGCGGCGCTTACACAAGAAACTGAGCAAACGGAGGTAGAAGATGAGGACAACTCACCGCCGCCTGCTACTGATTCAACTTCCTCGCTGAACAACAACAACAAAAGTGACAACGATGTACCTGAACTGAAAACGCTGTGCGATCTGTCAATGCGAAAACCCCTGACAGACGATGAGAAGAGCCAGATTTATGCCGAAACCAACAAGCAGATAATTAACAGACAAAAGTCCGGATCGGGACCAGCATCTCTGCCGAATATCTCCGAACTTTCGAGGGCCAGCATCAGCGATGCCATAGCCATCTACCAAAAGTATCTGATAGTTAATGCCAGTCTGCAGGTGGAGCTGCCAATTGTCATACTGGCCCACATATCGTTACTCCTGTGCGGACGAGACAAAGCCGAGTGTAGTAAACCCATCCCAGCCAGTTGCTTTGACGAGGCCAGGGAGTTTGTGTTGGAGCAATTGGAACGCGATCATGTCCTGGGATTCCTGCAGAGCGGCTACTATTCCACATACTGTCTGGAGTTGGTCGAAGGTGGTTCTATAAACATCTACGATGTGTTGTACAGCGAATTGGCTTTATTTTACTTCACCGAGTACCTGGAGCAGCGTCAGGAGCGCGAATGTCTCGAGTTCTGGATTACGGGCATTAATTTTCGTAAGAGTTTTGCTTCTGGAGAGGATGACGAAGCGGCACAAAGCGATGCCATGATAATATATGACAGATACTTTTCGCTGCAATCGGATTGTCGCCTGTGGATGTCACAGAAGCTGCGATTGAGAGTGGAACAAGCCATCTGTGCTCCTGGCGAGCAGTGGCAAGCCTTTGACTTGGCTTTATTGGTTACGGCCAAGTATCTGGAGCAAAAGTACTTTGCCGATTTCCTAAGATCCCACATCTTTGATAACTATGTCAATGAACTGAAGATAAAAAGAGGTGGGTTCTAAATGTTGTATATTACTTTTTAAAGGGTTTAATTACCATTTAATGTCTTTATTTTTACAGATAACTCTGCCTCCTCTCACTCGAATCTCCTTCAACACAAACCAAGCCTGCGTAGAACTGGCAAAACAACCAATGTACAGCGGCATAGGAAGGCCTTATCCATGTCGGATTGCACGCACATCTCGCAACACAACACACTGCTGGCTTCCATGGACACACTGCCGTCGAAGGCGACGATAAATCAACAACAGTCGGGAAATCTCAATATCGATGCCCGGCAGCTGACGAATCCGCAACTCCTGTGGCAGCGTCCCTTTGTGGGTACGCTGAAATTTGGCTTTGTTAACTCCTTGGGCCGCTACGAGCGAGACTTTGAGGCTGTGGATGCAGTGGCTCTCAAGTCGCAGCCATGGTCACTGAGTGTCAGCGGTAGCAAAATCAAAAATGCTATGCGAAAGCTGGTGAATCTCCCGGAGGATAATGTGCAGGAAGAGATTGCTTGGCAGGTGGCCGAAATGATTGTCAAGGATGTAACGAGCGTCACGCTTAGTGGAAAAACTTCACCGCCTCCATTGGCCTAAGGTGTGTTTTACAGGAATTTTAGTTCTCATTTAATTCTCCCTTGTTTTGTATTTATTATTTTTATGCTCAAATCAAACAAGAATCTCCCCCGAGAAGTGCACAAATTTGATGTCGCAACAGGAGCTCTCTAACTCTACTCTCTCTTATGTACAAACTATGTTGAACAAACAGAATCCAATTATTTAACATATTAACTTATTTTCATTAATTTTGTGAGCTTTGAAAGCCGCACAATTACCATGACTATTGCTCGCTCATTTGTTATTTTATGCAACAAAATCAATCTAAAACTCAAATATATATACTATATAGAGGACGAAGCTTTTGAGTCTTTTTTACTTCATTCCGTTTTTATTATGATATAAATAATCATTTGTAATATATATATGAAAAGAATGTATATGAATATTTTTGCATACTACAAAATGGAAAATTTATTGTTAATAATAACATTTTTCTATAATCAAACTCTGTGATGAATATTTCTTTATTACTTGGTTATTTAAAGGGGTCATAGGTAAAATATAGTTAATTGCACGAATTTTATAAATTAATTGCATAGAATACATTAAAATTCCCATGTCTTAGCTGATATCTTAATGTATATATGCGGAATTGCACTACTGTGTACATTTTTAAATAGATTTGAACTTGATTTGGCAATTTGAAGTCAACAGACTGATTTCCAATTTTGTTAACCTGATAAAAACTAGCATGGAAAGCTTTCCGAATTAAAATTAATGAATTTTTGGCGTAGTTATAAGTTAGTTAGCTATGAGGAATATAAATATTTTAATTTTAAGCTTAACCTATGATCGATTTCCGATTTGATCCCATAATTTGATAAACTTCGGCTTTCCTAAGTTAATTTAATTTCTTGTTTTTTCAAAACGGGAATTTTTTATCAAGTTTTTGTTTTAATTTTACATGTTTCTGTTGAAAAAGAAAAATGTAAATAACGTATACGTCCTCTTGTGAAAAAATCACCAAAAAATGTTTACACTTCCTCACTTTCACTCTCTCTCCTTAAAATTTATTGAAGCCAAACTTATATATCTACTCAATCTACTTCCTCGACGGGAACCTGACCCGTTTCACTAAACCATCGCAGAATCCTCAACATCGTTTTGGCGGAATATAGGCAAAATGGATACTCATTAAAACACAGCTCCGTGGAACCCCTCAAAGCCAATCCGCGACTAAACGCTCGTCCAATCTTTATAGGAGCCATCTCGATCGAAGATTCCAGATAATCCATTAGCAGTTCCGCTTCGGGAACTTTGGCTTCCGCTCCAGACATAAGTTGGCAGATCAGGGATTGGAGGCACTCGAAGGGATCTCGCGAGAGGATTCGTTTCCAATCAATGGCTGGTGGTGGAGGTCTCTGAACTCTGCCATTTGATACTCTGCCTCCTCCTCCTCCTGAATCCTGCGTCCTTCGCACCCAACCCAGATCATGACCTTGGCTGGAGGTAGCCTCTCTTCTAGATCGAAATAAATTCAATGAGGCACTGGCCTGTTGAATCGGTGCAATGGCCATTTGTATAGGTTGAGCAGCCATTCCAGCCAGTTGGGTTATACCGCGAATGGGTCGAATCTTCACCCAGTCCTGGGCCAGCAGATGCATCATGTACATGGCCCCAAGGCCGGTGGCCGCCAAAAGTATCACTCTGCGAAAGGAGAAGGTATTAAATTCAAATTCAATTTTAATTCCCATAATTATTACTTGGTTTATTATTAACCAAGTGGGGAGGAGCTCCTTGTCAGCTTACCTGAAACCCATCCTTGGGAGCTTTGCTTTCCTTATCCTGTCACGTCTTTACAGCTCGAGTGCCAGCCTTGAAATGGGCAATCCGCGCGATTGGTGTTCATGTTAAAGCGCCAAATAGGATGCCAAAATCGATGGCCAGCTCCAGCTTTGATCGCCTGAAAAGAAAACCCCAAACCCCGACCCCACCAAAAATCCACACAGAAACCGGAACCAGCGGAGTTATCATCAAAACAAAGTCCATCCCACCGCTTTCCGCAATAGCGATGGCGATGACATAATAGAGACTCCAACCAGTCGACTTGTCCAGGCAGCTCCTCCATCTCCTCCTCCTCCTACGGCTCCTTCTCTCCACAATATATACATCTCCATTTCTTTTCCCTTTCATTTGGAGCAAACGGGTTTTTCTATTTGCGTTTTCGCGGTTAGTTTCTTAACGCAACAAGTTTTCCTTGACTTTGGTGGTTCGGTGGTGACTTGGCTTGGTGTTGTCCATGACCATTAAAAATGGCAAGCTAGCGGCGATTAATCGTCGAAGGAAAATTGCAGTTCAACTGTTCGCCAGGCAGTGGGTCAGACGGGTGAAGATTTGGGTCTTTTGTGGCTTAAATGGGGGAAATGGTTTAAGTTGCAGTAGCATTTTCCAAACAGGAGAAAATATATAATACATGGGCTCTTTATGGGTGGCTTTTCCGTTTGGTCTGAGATTATATATTGCTGAGTAAATCCATAAATGGCAATGTAATTATCTATTATAATATATAATAAAATACTTTATAGAATTGTTGGGAAAAATTAAATTTTTTATCATCACTTGACTTTGAAAAATACTTATTAATTTATAATTAGTTAATATTTTCATTAGTTAAATGGATTTAAAAGGAAATAACAACTTTAGTGAAAAGAATACCAAGTTAAATCAGGATTAACACTATATTTTGTAACAAGAGAGGCCCAATTTGCATGTCTTAAAAATTCCATTATCTCTATTTAATTTATCAATTTCCATTAAACTCCCGACTCTTGTGGAAAACTTTAACCGCCTCAAAAGCCAAACTTCAACAAGTGTAAAAGCTTTTCTTCCCCGATGGAGATCTATAAAACCCTGGGCCAACCAACCGAACGGATTCAGTCGTTTTGAGTGAACGTCAGGTGCGGGATCTGGACTCTGGACTGGACTGGATAACCAGGAAACTGTGGATAACTAACCAACTTCAAACCGCATCTCTTGAGATTATATAACCCACTGGATGGGGAAAAGTGAAAGCAGAAGGAAAGAAAGATAAAAGAAACATGTTTTATGCGGTCATCTGGATTTTCTGCGCCACTCTTTTTGCCATTTTATTTGGAGGAGTGCGAAAGCCCAAGAGATTTCCGCCAGGACCTCGTTGGTATCCCATAGTGGGTAGTGCCTTGCATGTCTCCCAACTGAGATGTCGCCTGGGTATGTTCTGCAAGGTGATTGATGTCTTTGCCAAGCAATATGTGAATCCTTATGGCTTCTTTGGCCTGAAGATTGGCAAGGACAAGGTGGTGATAGCCTATACTAATGATGCCATTAGTGAAATGATGACCAATGAGGATATAGATGGCAGACCCGATGGAATCTTTTATCGTTTGAGAACCTTCAATTCCCGATTGGGTGTCCTTCTAACCGATGGCGAGATGTGGGTGGAGCAGCGGCGATTTATCCTGCGGCATTTGAAGAATTTTGGGTTTGCCAGAAGCGGCATGATGGATATTGTACACAATGAAGCCACTTGCCTGCTGCAGGACCTCAAGGATAAAGTGGCTAAAGCTGGCGGAAAGCAGGCCCGTATTGAGATGCACGATTTGACGAGTGTTTATGTCCTTAATACTCTCTGGTGCATGCTGAGTGGCAGGAGATATGAGCCCGGTTCTCCAGAGATCACGGAACTCCTGGAGACATTCTTTGAACTCTTCAAGAACATCGACATGGTGGGTGCTTTATTCAGTCACTTTCCATTGCTGCGATTCATTGCCCCGGATTACTCGGGCTACAATGGTTTTGTGGAGAGCCATCGATCCTTGTACTCCTTTATGAGCAAGGAGATTGAGCTGCATCGCTTGACCTACAAGAACTATGATGAACCCAGGGATCTAATGGACTCCTATCTGCGTGCCCAGGAGGAGGCGGGTAGCGATGATCCCAAGGGTATGTTTAGTGATGAGAGTTTGTTGGCCATTTGCTTGGATATGTTTCTGGCAGGTTCGGAGACCACCAACAAAAGCTTAGGATTCTGTTTTATGCATTTGGTCCTGCAACCTGAGATCCAGGAGCGAGCTTACCAGGAAATCAAGGAAGTTGTAGGGCTGGAAAGGATACCCGAGTGGTCCAGGGATCGCACAAAGTTGCCCTACTGCGAGGCCATCACCTTGGAGGCAGTCAGGATGTTTATGCTCCACACGTTCGGCATTCCACATCGAGCTGTGTGCGATACCCGCTTGTCGGGCTATGAAATTCCCAAGGATACCATGGTGATTGCCTGTTTCCGGGGCATGCTGATCAATCCCGTGGACTTTCCAGAACCAGAGGCATTTAATCCCGAGAGATTCCTCTTCGATGGACACTTGAAACTGCCAGAGGCTTTCAATCCCTTTGGCTTTGGACGCCATCGTTGCATGGGTGACCTGCTGGGCAGGCAGAATCTGTTTATGTTCACAACCACCGTGCTGCAGAACTTCAAGCTGGTGGCCATTCCTGGCCAGATGCCGGAGGAGATACCACTGGAGGGAGCCACAGCAGCTGTAAAGCCATACGACATCATGTTGGTAGCTAGGGGAGAGCAGGAAATTTAGAGATAAATTTTGATAAATGTAAAACTCATTTTACCTGGTTATTGGTTAAGGCACGTTCCATGTTCTTCCACTTCAATAAAATATACATCCAGTATATATTACACACTTCATATTTTTTATATTCTCTAGTTAAACATTTAATTATCAATATCATTATAATTATTATTGTTGTGGTTGATTTGTAGTCTACAAAGTTGTCACTTAGTTTCATTCGGTTGCTCCTCAGCGATTTCAACAAAAAGCATTTTCTTTTTTGGGCTAAGCAAACTCAGCACTAAATCGTACAAATATATATATGTATATATCAAATATGTTGAATGAATGAGCCGATGGATTTGATTAGCTTAGACAATATACATAAAAAAAACCTAGCGTACAAATAAAAGTATTGCCACACAAAAATGTTTCAGTAACAAAATGAATTATTGAATGCGAATGGGTTTGCTTGCTTCTCCTATTTCCTCTTCTGATTTTTGTTATTTAAAGCTATTTGTTTATATTCATACGGTATTGTTAATGGAAAACAATTGTTGCTCCTCAGCTTTGACATCCCTACGTATATAATAATTCGCTTTAAAAATTTCAATTTGCATTTCGTTTTGTTTCTTGATGTTTCGCTTTGATATATTCTCACTCTTGAGCCTGCCGCTAGACACACTGGGCTTATGTATATGATCTAGATGTGTATATAAATATATATGCATATGATCGTGTATATAATATATATATATATGTATGTAAAAACTCTAACAATTGTCACACAAAAAGCAAGCCAGCTAAGCATTGCCAAAAAACTATCAACTTAGCTGCATTTCAAGCACTTTTATCATTTTGTAAAGTAAATCTGCATTTTGATTAGCGAAAACTTAAGTATCTCTGCTGCATATGTGTATATGGTTTATATTTCAGAATAATATAAAAAACTGTGTCCGCATTAGCTATTACCGATTACACTGCTCTTTTTGCACATAACTTTGCTTGGTCCGTAATATTCCCAACGCGCGAGCGGAAGAGTATGATTATTAATTACAATTACATTGAGTCGTCGGTGAACGGTTAAGATTAGAGATTGTGACGATGTGAAATAAATAAAAACGAGTGGTTTTTTAGTGGGTCTTTTTTGTAGAAGAGGTAGGAAGTTCATGGACAATGCAAAGATATTCTGTAACAAACAAACTGCAGGCTCAATTTAGAATAATATTCTAATATTAGAACCCACAGTTTCTTGATTGCAAAGCATCTTTCATATATCATCCATAGAGTCCGCGTCAAATGTATCGACCCACCCAAGGATTAGAATATATATATAGGGCTAGGATATGTTCAGTTCAAAAGTTTAGACACTAACGAGCGACTATCAAGCATTTCACATTTTTGTGCAACATCAAAAACTCTGGGAAAATTGACAGCTTCCGCACTACAGACATCGATTGACTAATAACTAATGAAATTCCCTAAAAAACTTGTTGCACCAGTTTCCCTCTATTCCTTTTTTCTGATCTATATATTATTCACCATATGCTCTCATCCCGGCTCAATGCTTCCGGAATCCAAAGGTTGGCAACTGCTGGGCACAGCAACAGGCCACGATGTACAGGATGCCGAAGAAGAAGTTCAGCTTGGCCGTTTGCCGCGGCACCAGATGCATCGTCTGCTCGTTCCGGAAACGCTTCTCAATCTGAAAGGCTTGCGGCAGGGTCACCAGTGGCAGCAGGAACCACAGCGAGTACTTTAGCCCAAAGATAAAGAAGAGCGAATAGGGGGCAAAGAGGAGCATAGCGTACAGTACATGCGAGGCAGTGCGTCCTATTAATATTGCCAATGTGACGATGCCAGCCCGACGATCATTATCAGCATCTCTGGTATTGTTACTATGCAGAATCGCCTCCGTGTTGAGGGCCAATGGAATGGCATAGCCCATTGTCGTCCAGTCCAAGTGACCCGTTTGGGACATAAACGCGAATAGCACTGAGATGGGTCCAAACAGTATCAGTATCACCAGATCACCCAAGGCGATATACTTGAAACCAATGCCGCCTGTGTACAGGAAGCTCGACGATAATCCGCCAAAGTAAATCAGCGCCAAATGCTCCATTTTCGCTGGACTGAGCACCGCCAGCAGAACGAATCCACCGCAGCCGGCCATGTAGAGAATGGCACCCAGCGAAACCACCTAAAAATATATTAATAATCATATTAAAATTTATAATGGTGTTAAACAACCGAATTAATTGTCTCTCACTTAACTCTACAATGCCCAGAGTGCAGATATTAGGGATGTATATCGGGCGGATATATATAAATCATATTGTCGCAATCATATTGAAAATATTATAATTTAAAGTATCGCAAAATATCGCCTTTAATGTATAATATTTATAAATATGCAAACATTAAGACAATAGTTCGTAATGCATTATTTTTGGAGCGTTCTTTTATTTATTTATTTTCTATTCTATTAATGGTTATTTAGTGCTGGTTTTTTAAATTCTTATTGCATTACTCATGTCCTTGATATTAATTAGTAGATTGATAATTATTAGAAGAACTTGCTACTACTCGCCTTGTTTTTAAACCATAAAATCGTTTATGACTTTAACACGATTTTCAGCCAAAACCAGAAGGAAGAGAATTTAATTTCTGGTGAAATTCATAATTCAATAAATGGAAAAATAAAAAGGAAGGGTATTTAGGTACCCAATAACACCTAATTAAGGGTGAGTACCAAAGTTGTACTCAAACTTTAAGCCATTTCGTTGCCATTGACAACCAAAGCCTTACCCACAACAAATCTATTGAATTTTTCCCATTCAAATCGTTCACCTCACCATGGAGGAACTGCAAAAAGTTGGACTCTTTATAGATGATATCTACAGACTGCGTGTGGAGGATCCCAGCATTGCAAATGAAAAAAGTGAATTGCGACAGGAATGCTTGGAATACTCAAAGAATTTGCAATTGTTCAAGAAATTGGCCGCTGACTTTTATAAAATTTCGGAGACATTCGCAAAAGATGTTGATAAGGAGAAGCTTCGGGCTATTGGCACTCAGAATCAGTTGAAAACCATATCGAAACAGCGACAGGGTGAGCAGCAGGTCTATCAGAGTCAGATCTATGAGCAGACCGTGGAGTTGGAGCGCCTGAAGAGCGAACATCAGTATTTGCAGCGCATCGAGACGGAGCAATTGGAAATAATTAACAATTTCTTGGTTAATCAATAAATTATACATATGGAAATGTGTATCGAATGGAAATAAATCAAATAAAAGAATGCTAAAGCTTTTCAACAAATTCTCCTTTTGTTCGGACACAATTGAAAATGAAAATTAACGACGAAAAATAGTTTCGAACCGGTAGCTCTTGATTCTATATTTATTTTGTGTATGCAAATTAAGACCTTTGAACGTGTGTTTTGTAAAAATCTTTAGAAATTGCTTGCTTGTGGATTCCAAACTGTATTATTAGTACATTCCACACTATATTAAAAACTATTTTGAAATATCAACATTTTAAGTATCGAAAAACATTGCATTTAACTATACAATTTCGATATTATTATTCAGAATTGCATGTACATATAGTGTTTTTATACCCTTGAAAAATAGTCATAAAAATTTAGTTCAATATGTTACCCTTCCCTGTTTAATGTAAAACCCTTTCAGGATAATATAATTTTGTTAGAAGAAGTTTTCCTAATTGAAATTTATATATGTATTAAGCTACGTTATGATAGATTACAAGTTTAGCTCTCTTATCCAATTGGAAACTACAAGGTTATACATAGAAACTCAGACTTTCAGAAGTTGTCTTTCTTTTTATTTAAATTTAAACTGTGCTAACAAAAAAAAAAACCTCAGCTAACGTTTACTTCTGGGCATTGCAGGGTTAATCGAACAGCAATTAATAGCAGATCGCGTGGTTGAGCCGTTAGCTTACCTCATCCTTGGTGAGTATGTGATCCACCAGCGTACGATCGTCGGCCTTTTGCTTGTCAATGCCCTTGATGAAGTCGAAGTAGGTGTTGACCACATTGCCAGCACAGTGAACGGTGACCACGGTAAAGGCGGTGAGGAAGAAGGTGGCCAGCGAGAACTCCGCAGCCCATTGGGAGCGATAGGCCAGTGCGGATCCAAGGAGCGTTGGTACCAAGCTGGCGGATAACGACCAGGGACGCAAAGCTAGGAGATAGGTTTTCAGTTTCATAAAGGTGCCGGATGTGGGTGGATATCCTGTTGGTCCTATGCCTGAACCTGCACCTGTTCCGATTTCCTGCCCTTTGCTCACTGCTCCTCCTCCGCTGCCGCCGCCTGCCTTTCCATTTGTAGTGGTGGGATTTCCGTTGGGCAACAGCTGGGAGGTGGTAGTGGTGGTGGTGGTGGGGTCCTCCTCCTCCTCGGTGCCGGCTCTCCTGGCCGTCGTCGTTGTTGTTGCCATTACAAGTTGCACGGTTCTACTGGCAGGCACTTCGCAGCGAAACTTATTCACCAACTTGCCGTGTGTGTGTTTGACCTTGTTCTCCAGACCACAGCGAATTGTTTACAAAAGCTTCAATATTAAATAGTGTTTTTTTCGGATGCCGGCACATACGCTGCTCTGCTCTGCTGCTGCCTGCTACTTCTGCTGCTCTGCTCTCTCGCACCTCCACCGTCTCCTCCTGGACGGTCTCCTGCTCTTTCCCCAGGTGCGCTCGTGTGTGCGTATGCTTTCGATAATCGCTAATATTGTATACACAGCATCTTGCCAGCGGGGGGATGCTGAGGGGGTTGTTGGTTATATAGGGAGGGCGCCTCGGCAGCTCCACAAAACCACGAAATTTCACCCGTGGAGTCCCAAGTTTCTCTCGCGTTCGCTCACTCTCACTGTCGACCCGCTCCGCTCGCTCTCTCCGTGCTACTTCCACGTTCGCGGGCAGCTTCTTCGATTCCGGCGCCTGCTTTGATTGATTGATTCCGCCGTAATGGGTATTTTATATGCGCCTATTTATTTATTTTAGTTTAATCAAACAAATCAACTGTCACGTCAGCGCTAAACGAGAAAAGGTCATACCTTTTCCTAAGTAGTGCATTTCGCTGCTATCGTAGGTATTAGTGCAGCCCTGGTTTCAAGTTTATTTAAATACATATTCGTTAATATAATTAATTTCCATATATTTTAATTAACTATGAATACTCACCTCATTATTTTTGGTAGATTTATTTAATAAACTTTTATTATCTCAATAGAAGTATTATATTTATTATCGATAACACGATTGTGTATATTGGCGGGGCCCTGGTTGTAACAGCTGTTGAATAGATTGAAAACAAACAAATAAAACAAATATTTGTTGATTTGATTTTAATTGCATGAAAAATGGATTATAATATACATAAAATTTGTCGCGTTTGCTTGGAGGAGGTGAATCCCATTTCGGTGACTTCAATTTATAGCACAGACTTTGCTATGATGCCCTCGGTAATGCTGATGCAGTGTGCCAAAATACGAGTAAGTAAAAAACAAATACAATTATTTAAACTAATACTTATGAGTTATTTTAAGGTTTACAAAACCGATGGCCTGCCTTCGGTGATCTGCAACAATTGTATCTACCGGTTGGGTGTGGCATTCCACTTTAAACAGGAATGCGAAAACAGTGATATTCGACTGCGGCAGTATCTGGGCATCCTCGAGTCGTGGCGCCAGGACGCAGCCACGAACACGGATTTCGTGGAGAAGCCATCTATCATGCAGCGTGATAGCGATGAGGAGGAGCAGGTGGATACCAAAGTAAGCAAAAGACGGTCGCGCTATCAAAGGAAACCCCCGGAGGAGCATAAGAAAAGGGGACCAAAGCCAGTGGCTAAGATGCCGCACACCTGCTACGAGTGTCACAAGAGCTTCAAGTGCATCGCTCAGCTCACACAGCACATAAGGACCCATACGGGTGAGAAGCCCTATCAGTGCAGCTACTGCATCCAGAGATTCGCCCAGAAGTACAACCTTAAAGTGCACGAAAGGACTCATACGGGGGATAAGCCCTTTCAGTGTGAAATCTGCTCAAAACAGTTCTCTGCTTTGGGTAATTTCCAAGCGCATCAAAAGATCCATGTGGGGGTGCGGGATCAGATATGTTCGCTGTGTCAAAAGGGCTTCTATACCGCAGGAGATCTCTCCAAGCACATGCTTACCCATACGGGAATCAAGAACCATCACTGTGATGTTTGTGGCAAGGCATTCACGCGACGCAGAGACATGCGCTCCCACAAATTAAAGCTTCATCCGCTGGAGTCGAGTACGAATCATGATATAGTGGATGATGATGATGATGAGGCTATCGATACCGATCCTGTGGGTCTGGACACCCTGGATCATGCCCCCTTCAAGTGTCCCGATTGTGACAAGGCTTTCGATACGGCCGATAGCCTTAGTTTACACTTCCGCACTCATGCGGCGAACAACAATCTGCTGAATCTTCCACTGCCACCAGCACCGCCCATGTCGCATCACTACCATCATGATGCACTCCATCATCTGGGGCCGCCGAATCCAGCCACCCAGATGGGAATGGCTGCAATGGCTCATATGCTGGCACCACCGCCACCTCCACCGCCTACGCCCAGTGACGGACGTTACACAATGCTGCACCACACGGCGGCCCAAAGACTGCACTATTAAAGTATTATGTTTTTTTAAATAATTATTTGTATAACTTATTTAGAGAAAAAGAATTATTAAGAATTAAAAGAAATATAATTAATATAAAATGAAAATGTTTTTTTGGTTTTATAAAATACATACATAAGATAATAGTCTCTCTGCTTTCTTAAGGTTTTTAATATTGAACACTTTTATTTTCTTTCGTCTATATATTTACGTTTAAAATGGAATATTTTTGTCATGTTTGCATCCTTTTATATATCTTTACAAATAAATACATGTATGTAGAAATTTGGCAAGCACAGCTTCTATAAAGATTATTACTTAAATGCAAGAACTAAAATCACTATTCGCACTCTTACCGCATGCGTCGTAGTCTATATAAAATTGTCATTTTACGTTGTATATAAACATAGCTTGATTTGTGTTTTTGTGTGTGTAAAAATTGTCATATCTTGGTTTGTTTGGTATTGGTATGCATCGTTGGTATCGGCTTGATCCAGTTTGTGAATATGTCTATAAAAGCTCAAAAATCGAATCCATATCTCATAAAATATTGCTTTGAACAGAGAACAACGGTGTGGAATGATTGGATACCATCCCACTCCATTTACTTGAGCTTCTCCCTTAGCCATTCCTCGGTCAGTTCGTCCAGTTCGCGTATTTCGTAGACGCGGGTGAGATCCACTTCACGTTGCAGAGCGCTCTTCGTGCAGGCGTACATCATTTGCAGTTCAATCTGGAATTAAAAAAAATAGATTAATATTCGTAAGACATTCTGTTTTACGGCTAGTCAGCTACCTTCGAGGTAGCCCTTTGCTGTCCAACTCTGCTTGCTCACCTGACTATCTCTCGGCGTGTAGAATATAAAACACATCGGATACGATATGCGCTGGTCATCATGTACCATTTTGTACGTGTAAATTACGTATCGAGGCTGATGTCCAGGCAAAGTGTCCTGCAGCTCGTCCACCGATATGTCGTCAATGAACTCATCCAGCACCACCGACTGCTTCTCCCGGTCGACTTTCACTACAAAAAATAATAGCAATACAAAAAACCAAAGTCATCAATCAGCGCTTAATTCGTTTAGGTGTTTGGACACGCTTAGAGAGCCATGTTCCCAGGGGCTATGAGGCCCATCAGCCCGTAGCCATGGCAATGGAAACTTACATATCAACGCTGCATTGTTTTTACTCTTGCTGAATCGGAACTTCTTCAACTCCTCCAGCACTTCGTTGCTAATGTCGCATATTTTGTTATCACCCTGCAGAACAAAAATACAGAAATAAATTTTAATTGATTAATGGTTCAGAAATCACCAAAGTTATCATAAAACCGCAATCAGCAAGCGAAAAGAAAAAACACAAACAAAAACACGCCCACACTCCTTCATTAGTCATGTTTTAATTTGTTGTAATTGATTTCCGACTTAGACCGCACTTTCTTACCATAGCTTTTTAGTTTTTTGGGGAATCGGGGAGTTCGCCTGCGGATTCTTTGGCAGTTGTCGTGGCGATTAAATATCACTTTTTGCGAGTAACCGTTAAAATATTTACGTTTAATTTTTGTTTTTGCTTCGCTGAAAATGTTTGACCGACCTGCAGTATGACCGTGTTTTGAACGCCAAAAAATACGTGAACAAGTAAAAGAATAAATGTACAAAACTATCGCCGATATATTATGCCGTATAGGGAACGACCACTTAGTCGCCACTTACATTTTTTCATAATCCCTAATTATTCACTTATAAATTGTTCTCCTTTTAATTTAACAATCCAAAGTGTACGAATTCTTTATTATTATGTACGAATTATTTATTTTAGCGACCTCGAATTGGAAAAATTACGAATTATTTTTAAAGTTGAGTTGGAACGGAATCATTTTTTTTTATACTTTTGCAGGGTATTTTAATTTTAGTTTGACTAGTCGTAGTATATAAGTCGTCGAAATGGGATCGGATCGGACGATATAGCTGCTATAGGAATAATCGGAACATTTTCAGAAAATAAATTATAACTTTTAAAGTTTTCAACATATTTTCATCAAACTTGGGATATAGCCATTATGTATTATTCTAGAACTTTGGTTTAAATTTAGTGAAAATCGGATAACTATATCATATAGCTGCTGTAGAAACGATCGAGAAATTAATGTTATTAAAAATTATAACTTTTAAAGTTTGGAATTCACTTTCATCTTATTTAGGATTGAGGCATTTTTATTAATTCAGAATTTCATTTTTAATTTTGTTCATGAAAATCGAATAATGATAAATACAGATGTCATATAAATGGTCGTAACATTTTTGGAAACAATTGTATAACTTTTTTCCTTTTCAACATATTTTTATCTAATTTTAAATATAGCCATTTCGTATTATTTCAGAAATTTGGTTTTAATTTTATGAAAATCGGAAATTATATCATATCAGTAGACTATAATCCAATATAGAATACATCATGATTAAAATTATTTTCCGTTTTAAACGATATTAATTGCAAAATATCGGTCTTGATCGGTAGATTACTCTTCTCATCCCTAACGAACCAGGGCTACCAAAAGTACCGTTGGATCAGGCTCCCATTGTTTTTTCCGCGCCAATTTTAGCTTATTGGCAAAATTGCATTTGTTTTACAATAAACATTGATCTACCCAATTATGAGTAGGAATTAAGTGCTTATATGATTAGCTAACATGCAGGATCGTATGCTTGATTTGGATCAATATGAGGATAACCTCTTGCACAGCTGCTGGAAAGTTGGAGCCTGCCGTTCCCGGACAGCCGTTTTGTCTTCATTCAGTAGAAATGAAATTGCCGCAGTGGATATTGTGGCCTGTTGGTAAGTGTTAATATTTTATCCTTAGCAACACAGCCCCACTGATTTTTATAACTTTTCAGCAAACAAATCACATCCTTGGTCGAGGAAAAGGCATCAGAGCTGCAACTTTCGTATTCGGTGGCCCCAAGACACCAACATTACCATTTCAAGAGCTTTGGGCAATTGACTTGCGGTCTCACCAATATATATAGTCGTCAGGTGAACATACTCTTGGGTGAGTACTTTGCTTTTGATTAAAAGGAGTCTTTTAAATATGTATCTTTTTAGAGGACACCAAACATTTGCTGGATCAAATAAAAGGCAACACATTTGACTTGGTTTTAACAACCAAGAAATCTTTGATACGAACCAATCGCAAGCGGAAGCGAGTAATCACGAAGGAGAGGAGACTGACGATCTCCAAACGTCTCAGACTTGATGAATCCGATCTTCTCAATAAATCAGTGCAGCAACACTATGCAAATTTGCTAGCCGAGAGTCAGGTGTGGCAGTCTGAATCCACTCAGCAGCTTGAGGACAGGAGGTGAGTCTATATAATCTATAATCAACATATACAAAGCATTTTATTTATTTCTCAGTCCATTGAACTACCTCGAAATTATACCCAATCAAATTCATATCATGCTCTTACCATAACCGAGGAATTCGAAATTCACGAGAATCCGTCAGATATTTATGCATCCGATGGCTTTGGGGACTGTGATCATCCGGATTTAACGTTTTTTCAATCTCTTTATCGACGAGATTCCGGTAAATAGTTCTCAATTCAAATAATAGCTCGTCCAACTAATTTTTGATTTCCCTTAGTAAAACGACGTTTGACAAGATGCGTTTCAACTGACATTTTACCAGCGAAAATGCCCAGATTGGATGTTGATATATGTCAACTAAACACTTCCCTGGCTGACAGCATTGATATAGATACAGAAAGTATAACTTACATAGTATGCGAGCCATCGCTTCCATTTGACCTCTATAATTCTCCATCGAGGAGAATGTCCAGTGCTGACAATGCTATTGAGGCAACGGATAGCGTTGAAACAGCTCTAACGACTACAGTACAAAAATCACGCAAAAAGAAGCTAATAATCGACAAAAGCATTGAATATTCTCGAGATATGCTGAAGAAACAACAATGTCGATATTTAGCTAAACTAAGAGAAACAGTTGTGATTCCACCGCCTTCCGTGCGGCTCAGAACCCCGGAGAACCTTTTATTTAAATTGAATAAGCAAATTTCAATATTTCCAGATACTATTAGAAATAATTCCGTTACTTTAAGCAAAGAAGAAAAGGAAATGCTATCTGAGGTTACCTTAAGAAGCATATTCGGCGTTGAATTTACTGAAGATCTAGTCAAGGAGATTTTTGTTCCACTTAAAAGCCGAAAAATTAAAGAAAAAAATATTGTTTATCAGCCCGTTGTTCCAGAGGATCAGGATCACTTAATCGTAACTCCTCCCTTGCTTCCAGTCATTGAAAGCAATAATAATATATTAAACATACTATAAGCTATGAAGATAATCATTTTGGTGAGCTATTAATAATTGATAATGATTTTTTAAACAAGTATTTCTGTTTCCTTCAGATGCTTACTCCGTGATGATGGATTTAATAATGATTTGGCGTAATAATCCCGAAATCCAAGGAATTGATGCTAATAACTATATCCAAATGTTTCCAGATCGTATTAAGGCATCGCTAGCCTTTAATTTTTTGTTGTGTAAGCCAAGAGTACACAAAATGTATGTATACATTGACTTAATTACTTTCATTTCAGATCTGATCCGGGACAGCTTTATAAAGATCTCCAAAAAGCCAAACTCCATTGAAATGGACAAAATAGAGCTTGGCCCAGCGTCTAATGAGCTCATTGAAAGTCTTTCACAAGAGATTTTCTAAATTAATTAAATTAATCAGTCTGATAGAGACTATAAATCATTGTTTTTGGTCATTTGTTACATATCTACTAACTTTCATCGTTAGGTTAAAGTTACTTTTTAGTGTTCCCATCTCAATGTCCATATATTCATTTAAAAACTCTTGTACATTTCATTGTTACTATTACGTTATCATAGATATATAATTCATTAACATTTTGGGTAATTCTCTAAACCGTACTTGTTGTCCTTCGTTACACAATCTCATTCTCTCTGTGACAACACCAAAAATATAATAAACAAGTTACAAAACAAAAGGAATACAATGTATTATTGGCACAATCGCTTAGATGCCGATCTGTTGAGCCAGACCCGAGTAAATGTGCAGCGTGCAGAACCCAATAACGGCCGCTACCAGCGCTTTCACAGCCACCGTCAGCCAGGGTCCAATGGCCAGGATGTGGATCATGCCCTCCAGCCAAACACCCTTGAACACGGTCACTGCCAGCAGCAGGCTTACCAACGGTTTCAGCGCCTTGTTCAGATCGTGACGGGTGAACAGCCAGATCAGAGTGGCCGTAGTTATATGCTGCACCAGAAGCACGTTCGACTCGAGACACTTCAGAATGTAGATCCAGCTGAACTCTGTTCCTCGGGCTCCGACCCATAGCATGATCCCGCGGGAGAGAATCACCTCGGCAGTGGCCCCTGCGTGAAAATTATAGTTATTAGTGTATGCCAAGAAACGTGTAAGCTTCACAATTTAGACTAAGGTCAAAGATTAAGGCCCTAACTAGGTTATTGGATTGACCTACATCCGAGTCCAGCTGTAATGAGTTTCGAGTGCCCCTTTCCAGGAATACGACTCAGGATTAGGGCAAATCCTAGCAGATCAGCGACGTCCACGCTACAGCGGAGGATCTCCTGTAAATCGAAAAGCACACACACAACTTAACCTTAATAATTGGGTAAATAAAGGTAAGCACACACGCACCGCAAAGAAGTTGAACTCGCCGCTGGAAGAACTGTCCGAGTAGAAGAATGTGGCCAGGACCAGCATCTTGCAGAGCTGGGTAAATATGTAAATGCCGCCCGCCTGCACGCACTTCCAAAAGGCTCCATATTCAGATCTGCAAAACACCGGGATAATTAATAAATATTTTTATTGATCTAAAGCGACAAAGCGCTAAATGTGCTTAAAACCCACAGGCCGGAATATTTGTAGGTGAAGTAATACGGCGTTAGTAGGGCCACACAATTTCCAAAGTGATACAACGTCATTTTCTTTTATAAACTATAGTTATTTTGCTTTAATTAAGAATTAAAAGTTGAAAAGAAAAAAACTAGCGTTGCTCGTCTTTGGCTATCGATATGTGCCATTTAATGTTGTTGGGCCACAATAGCTGTTTTTATCGGGAAAATATCTTGTAACAGAAAATAATTTAGAATTTTATAAGACTTTTTGTCATTTCACTATTTAGGTTTAAAAATGATTGTGGAAATTAATTTTTGTTTCTGTATAAAGTTAATTACCTTTTAATTAAATTGAATCATTGAAAACCGCTAGAGCTTTGCGACACCACTGATACCTATCGATAGGTAGATATCAACACGTCATCGTCATCTGTCATCTGTGCTAGTATGGGTGCGCGTGTGTGTGAGTGAGTGAGAGTGTGTGCGTGCATGTTAGTGAGTTTTCTGCAATATTTTTACAATTATTATGAATAGTCGAAAACCCGAAGAAATGCTTAAACAAAATTTTAAATTATACATTGTCTAGGACACACTGGATTGAGAATCGAGTTCCGAGCCAGAAACCAAAGGGAAAAACAGCGATTTGCAGGCGGAAAACAAAGAGGAAAATTTCGCCACTCTGAAGGAAAGTCCAACAGATCGCTTGTGTGTGCATATGAAAAACAGCAACGTCAACTACCAGGGACAAGCTCCAATCTGAGATGAGATGCAAACTCGAAGACGACTCCATCAAACGGACCAGCAGGATTACAGCAGCAGCAGCACCTACACCATTCAAACGGGAGAGGATCATCATCAGACAGGATCAGGCACAAGCGCAGCATTAGGAGCAGCTGGCGGATCGGGAGGACTACTAGTGCAGCCTCTTGGTTATCCACAGCAACCGCAAGCGTCCGTCGACGCGGCCATCCACATCGGTGACGCCCAGGCCGGCCAATCGCTCGCTCCAGACTCGGACGACAAGTACGGAAAGGCGGCCCGCCAGTGGAATTTGCGTGCCTTCTCTGGCCAGGCTCTGCGGACCTTAAGTGCTGCTGCCGCCGTGGTCACCGGGAATAACCAACCGGACACAAACTTTAACAGCCAAAACAACTACAATTACAATTCCGCATCTGGTATCTCGGGGACAGGTCAGTTTTCGCAAGAAGACCAATTTGATCCGGAACCCGAGGCCGAAGTCTTCATCATGGCTGCCCGCGATAGGACGGGCGAGTTCGCGAACGCGATTCGATCGCTGCAGTCACGCAACATCACACGGGCCGTGAACATCCGGGATCCTCGTAAGGCGAAGCAAGTGCAGAGCTACTCGGAGTTCATGATGGTGGCCAGGTTCATTGGCAAAAACATAGCCAGCACCTACGCTAAACTGGAAAAGCTCACCATGTGTAAGTACATTAAAATTAAAATGATTTTCTGTAAAAATTAATTATAACTATCTATTTTAGTGGCAAAGAAAAAGAGCCTCTTCGACGACAGACCGCAGGAGATTCAGGAGCTGACGTACATCATCAAGGGTGACCTGAACGCTTTGAATCAGCAGATCGCCCGACTTCAGGACATCTCCAAGGACCAGCGGCGTCATACGAATGGCAAACACCTGGTGTCACATTCCTCGAACATGGTACTGGCCCTGCAATCAAAGCTGGCCAGCATGAGCACGGACTTTAAGCAGATCCTGGAGGTGCGCACGGAAAACCTGAAGCAGCAGAAGACGCGACGGGATCAGTTTAGCCAGGGACCAGGTCCGTTGGCCGCTCACACCGTCTCACCATCGACTGCGAAGCAAGGATCCCTGCTCCTCAGCGAGGAAAACCAGGCTGTGAGCATAGACATGGGCAGCAGTGACACCACCCCGCTCCTGGCTACCCAGACACAGATGGCCATCTACGATGAGTCCGACAACTATGTACAACAGCGGGCGGAAACCATGCAAAATATTGAATCTACGATCGTTGAGCTTGGCGGCATTTTCCAGCAGCTGGCGCATATGGTCAAGGAGCAGGAGGAGATCGTGGAGAGGATTGACACGAATGTGGCGGATGCGGAATTGAATATAGAGGCGGCCCATGGGGAAATCCTCAAGTATTTTCAGTCCGTCTCAAAGAACCGCTGGCTTATGATCAAGATATTCGGCGTTCTCATATTCTTCTTCCTGTTCTTTGTTGTTTTTATGTCATAATCGAAGCCAGCAGGCTGCTTGCCCCACGTACCTTCTTCCCTTTGTATACAGCAATTATTAATTTTAATCAAGTTTCAATTACAATATTGTTTATTCCAAGCTGTGGCCTACCCGGAACCGATTGTATAATAAAGTTATAAAAACGTACATACAACATGAAAGGCCTTTTGTAAACTAAGTTGCTGGGAGTTAAAAATGTCGCCTATATTATGCTCATACTGATAAGGTTTAGTACCCCATTTGATAATCTTTGTTATCTAAAGTTTGTGTGGTGCTCGCTCCATGCCGTCGCTGGTGTTTCTGCTTGTGTTTAGTTAAAGAATCCGCTGTCCTTCAAGCTATACATGGGGTAAAAAATAAAGTGGCATTATTTTTGATTCGACGTTTATTTAATGTGCTTAAGATCCAACTCCACACCAAGGATGCAAAATGCAAATTAAAATAATAATTAAAATACGTTACAATCTCCAAATTCACACAAAATAGACTAAAAATTATAAAAGAAAACAACGCTGATCTAGATGTCTTTCTATGGGTTTTCGACTCAAATTTACAAGTGAAGTATTGTTCGTGGGTTATTATGGGCAATCGTCTCTCTGACCCGAGTATGACAACTAATATACGATGCGGATGCGCTGGCGCCAACAATGAGATCCCCAGGCAGCTGCCACAATGCCTCTATGTCGAGATGAGCGAATAAACCATGCTAAAATTAGCGAGAAACGTTAGACAAACGATGGCCCTCGATTGCCCTAATAATTAATTTCAACTTACCCGTATATGTAGTAGAAGAAGCTGATCAAGTAGACGGCCAGCTTGATCCAGCCCTCTCGCATATTCCGTGACAACGTGTCCGTTTTCAGGACCGTGGTGGGATCATACAGTCCAGGGCCAGACATCACAGGGCGGTTTTTGTAGCTGCAATATATGGGAGTGGTCTCATTAAGCGTGACTCAATCAAGCGTTCATATAAGGGGGAACTTATTTATAAGCCTTGGGAGTTTTATTAATATATAAAATACGATATAGACTGTCGTATAAACAATTAAAGGTATGATTATTCTAATTGTATTTGTAATTTAAATTAATCAGCACGAAATGATGAACGCTGGTAATCTCCCTTGGCCGTTCTTCAATGAGCAAATGTAGATAAGCTAGGTAGTAGCTACACACTACCAGAAATAAGTACTTAGATATACTCAGGTACGGATACTACCAAAGGTTAATATAATACTCCCATGTAACATGATTCACTTACCGCCAAATATGATAGGCTATGAGGGGTATGTTGATGCATAGCGAGAACCATTCACCGCAGAATAAGAACAGCAAATTTAGGAAGATGTGCAGCAAGTACTCCGGTAAAACCAGCTAGGAAGGGATAATCCATCGGATTTATTCAACTGGACTGCTATGTAAACAATGGGTACTACAATACCCACCGGATTGAGGCTGTTGCACTGATCTATTGGATTTTTGTAATCTGTCTTCAGCTCGTCAAAGGCAATCACATGAAATATGGCGAAGAATATCAAAAACGCATCCCCGATCAGGGCCACTATGTACGTGAAGGCGGTAAAGTTGAAAGCCATTCTGTTTTATCGCCTGGCAGCACAGCATAAAGCGCTTAACAATATGACTTGCTAATTTATTTACGTAAAAAATATTTCGGCTTCCAATTGTAATAGGGCTGGGACAAAATCGATTTCAACATCGATACCACCGATTTGTTTGGTTTCCGTTCGATACCGATGTATCGCCCTCAGACTAGTATAACGTCTAGTATTTTTCTTATGCTATCGATAATTCTTTTTAGCCTCATCCTTGTGCGGCCACACTTCTTTTCCGAATCGAACCGCCATTACCGAACGCCGAAGCAAATCAATCGAATTTTTTAGGATCTAAGCAATCTATGAACCTCAAACGACGCTCGTGCAATTACCGAGAATTGTGTGATACATATATAGCTGCTACCTGACATCCCAGACCATCGACCAACCATGTCGCAATTCAATTTTGTGAGTGATCTTCAAAATGCATTGATCATGGACGGGGAGACGCGCGGACCTGCACCGCGTTGGAAGAAGAAGCTGGAGGCGTCACTCAACGGGAGCGCCAATACCACACGATCGGTGCTGTCCGTCTCATACAACACCAGCTTCTCGGGCGTCCAGGTGTCCACGAAGACGCCGGGAAAGACTAGCGAGGGCAAGGCCAAGAAATCGACGACCACGCCAACAAAAACGCCTGGCGGGGCGATCGATTCATACCGAATCGAGCTGCCACCAACTTTGAGCTGGCTCACTTTTTGGTAAGTATTAGATACTGATAAAGCCTTCTTGAAAATCTATTTTATATCCTCTCATAGGTCAACAAAGATACTGGTGACAAGTCTGACGAGGAGAACGAAAAAGCCACCACTAGCAACAGCAACGAGAGCAATGTCCAGGCCTCGGCTCACAAAGTGGAGCGACAGAAACTGATCTCCGATGTTGCCCAGGTCAACAATGACAACAATAGTGGCCGTATTTTGTGTTATCAGAACAAGGCACCAGCTGCCCCCGAGTCGCACACTAATCCTCTAAAGGTTGTGTACTCTATAAAGACACCCATATCGACGAAGAGTGGATCGCGCTATATACCAACCACTTCGGAGAGGATTCTGGATGCACCGGACTTTATTAACGATTACTGTAGGTGGATGCCTCGATTCCGATCATTTTAACCTTACGTTGAGGCTTTTTCAGATCTCAACCTGATGGATTGGAGTGGTGATAATATAGTGGCCGTTGCCTTGGGCAGTTGCGTCTACTTGTGGAATGCAGCCACCGGAAATATTGAGCAGCTGACTGAATTCGAGGAGGGCGACTATGCTGGGTCTCTATCCTGGATTCCGGAGGGTCAGATCTTGGCCATTGGCAACAGCACTGGGGCCGTGGAGCTCTGGGACTGTTCCAAGGTGAAGAGACTGCGTGTGATGGACGGACATAGTGCCAGAGTGGGATCCTTGGCCTGGAATTCATTCCTGGTGTCCTCTGGCAGTCGCGATGGCACCATTATTCATCACGATGTCCGTGCGCGAGAGCACAAGCTCTCCTCCCTGGCGGGACACACTCAGGAGGTTTGTGGTTTGAAGTGGTCCACGGATTTTAAGTATTGGCCAGTGGAGGCAATGACAATCTGGTGAATGTTTGGTCTTTAGCTGGCAATGGTGTGGGAACGGCCACCGATCCGCTGCACAAGTTCAATGAACATCAGGCTGCAGTGCGTGCCTTGGCCTGGTGTCCTTGGCAGCCAAATACCCTGGCCTCTGGCGGCGGAACTGCTGATCGTTGCATCAAGTTCTGGAATGTAAACAATGGATCCCTCACTAAATCCGTTGATTCCAAGTCGCAAGTTGCTCTCTGCTCTTCTCCCGCACTACAAGGAGCTGATATCGGCCCATGGATTTGCCAATAACCAATTGACCATTTGGAAGTATCCAACGATGGTGAAGCAGGCAGACTTAACAGGACACACGTCGCGAGTATTGCAGATGGCCATGTCACCGGATGGCAGCACTGTAATAAGTGCCGGAGCCGATGAAACCCTGCGACTGTGGAATTGCTTTGCTCCTGATCCCTTGGCCGCCAAGAAGGCCTCGGCCAGTGTTAATAGCAAGGCCAAACAGAGCGTTTTCCGGCAGAGCATTCGTTAGGAAACTATTAAATATGACTAATTTGAAGAAAGTTCCCATATCCAACATTTGTTTCAAGTTTAAACTAGTAGACAATTTTATGTTTAGTGATTGATAAATTGATTATTTCTTGTTCCATGTTTTGTATCGCGGCCAAGTGTTGTGTATGAATTCCCACCGACGATGATACATAGAAATTAAACGTTTTGTCAAATACTTTTATTGCTTAGAGTTAAGTTTTGTGCGTATAAATAAAATGCTTGACATTCTCTGCATCCTCTTGCATGCTTTATTTCGCTCTTTAAATACTATCGTTTAACACAAACAAATTGGATTCGGTTTCGGGTACCACTCGATGATGGACAGTAGCTAAGTAAGTACATTCATTGGGTTTTCTCGGGAACGTGTGTCAGGGAATATTATGTCTGCGGCAGGAAGGGCTTGCGTTGCAGGTCTCGGGAATTCGGTTTGTGTTATAATCATAGGTGTACATAAATGTGTTTATGCATTAGTCTAGGGCGTATGTACAGATTGGATTGGGGGCATTCAGGCAACCGTCATGGGATTGCAGCCATTGTAGCTTACAAAGTAACGTGGATCACCAAAGCGATCGTACATCTGCAAATAAAAGAGAGGATTGCAAAAATAAAGCGGGTTAGAATTGAATGTCAACCAAGGGTTAGGCATAAATCACAACAAATAAAAGCCACAACAACCAACAAAATAAGCATCAAATGTAACAAACTTGTAAACAGTTAAAGTGCGAATATAATCTAACCTAGACTAAGTTTACAAACCTTGAAGATCCAAACATAAATAAGTCTAGTTATAATTTATCAAATCTTTTGTTTTTTTTTTTGTATATTTTGTTGAGTAAAATATTTTTATTTTTGCAACACATCATTTCTTTCATTCAGTCAGAAAACATGAAAACATCAATTAGATTTAGCTAACTTAATACTACAATTTATGATTTCATTTTTCATCATCATCGAGTTAGGTGTATAATAATAGTTCTAGGGTCTATAATGTTAGTCGGTTTGGTTCACACTCACGCGCACGCACATACAAAAATTACAGACATACAGAGACACAGGGCATACACACGAATACATTTAGATTTAGATAGAGAATGAATAATAGCAACAAACATCGAGTTCACATTGGACATTGCTTAATCGTAATTGTATAGAAAATCCTAATATAGATATAGATTTAGTTAAGAAAAGTTGGTTCATTGGACATTATTGTTTTGCATTTCTTTCTATGGTTTGTTCGTTACTTTGTTGGTTCAATATTGTTGGGTTCTACTAAAACATAGACTCCCCCTGTGCTGTTTGTTTACTAAGATTTACTATACTGACTGCTCTTGCTTGCTCTTCTGCTTTCTTTCTTCATTTGCTTTCTTTTTATCAGATTTTTCATTTTTTTCTTTTGTTTTTTTGGTTAACAATACAATAGGTGTTAGTTGCTCCTCAAGTGAAACACCTTTTTCATTCCAAGTGAATACCAGTTCAGCTTGGTGGATTCTTCTGCTTCTTACTTAATTCCATCTAGCTTAGATTTTTCTGTTTCTGTTTTTCTTTTCTCTCTTTTTTGAACATTTTGGAAGCTGGTGGTGGCTTATGCTCTCTACAATAACCTTCTCTGATCTTAGGCAGTGACGCTCACCTTCGTATCGTCTAGATCTTCGATATCGCTACTGTCGTAATCACTATCCGGCGGCGTCACAGTCTCCGCACCGCGCTTCTCCAGGATATTTTGCATGCGCGACTTGTTCATGATGCACGCAAACTGGTAGGCCGTCAGGCCGGCAAAGGTGGCCGTCTCCAGGTTGAGCTTCTCACACTCGTCGAGCAGGAAGTTGGCCAGATCCTCGTTGCAGCCCTCGATCGCAATGTGCAGCGGTGTGCGTCCAGATTTGCCCTCCTATTAAGAAAGTTAATTGAAATTAGTCAAAGATTCTCAAGAGATGTGATTATAAACTTACCCTGGCATTAATGTCGGCTCCATGAGATACCAAAATGCGTAAGATATCAATGTGTCCCGCCTCGGCAGCCAAATGTACACAGCGCTCACCTGTAATAAAAGCGAAAAGAAAGGTTAATAATTTGTTTCAAAGATTTATTTAGTTAAAGTTTAAGTTTTATGATGGTTTTTTTATGAAATCTCCCTTTAATATCTTCAACTACTCCAATATTCCAACTACTCCACTATTCCAACAACTCCAACTTCACACCAACAGTGTATCGGAAAAGCTCTCAGTTATGAATGAAATGTGATCCCTTCTCTGAAAGCTTGGATGCCATCTGGAAAAAAAGCTATGCCCACGATCGATTGCTCTCAGTTGTAAAACGAGTAGCGTTTTATAATACAAACGAACCACAACAGAAAGCTTTGATTACGACAATGACCACTCGGGCGGGGAAGCAGGAGACGGAGGAGGTGGAGTCAAGGGGATCTGGGTGCCAAGTGGTGGGGCTTTTGCTTTATAAGACAATATGACAACCCGTTGACTTCGAATGCGAATGCGAGTATCCGTGTGTGTGCGATCGCTCGGTTGTGCTGCTTTTGCTGGTGTGCGTTGAAAAACCCAAGAAATTCCCACAATAAAACAGCAGCAATAACACACCAACAACAACAACAACAACAACGACAACAACAAAGACCAGTGACGAGGAAAATAAAATAAAAATCAAGCAAGACAGTTGTTGGCGTTAAGTTAAGTTAACAAACCAAATACAAAGTTGGCTTTTGGCAGTTCTGCTTCAGCAACAAGTTTGTCCAAGTTCAAATTGGTTTGAATCGCACATTATATGTAGAAATTTGATACATAGAGATACACATACACATAGGATCTTGAGTTTTTTTGTTAATAATAATAATAAATTCTGCAATAATTCAACTGACATTTCAGGCAAGCTTCGGGGAATGAATTCTGTTCATGATTCTCCTTTTTTATCATACTTTTTTAGAGCTTGTCGTGTCTTTCTACCATTTAAACAAATGTACAATAACTTAATTGGCAATTTAATAAACAAAAATTAAAATATATACAAGTTCAGAGTTTTGCAATTAAGTTGGTGTTCTATAATTTGAAGAATTATTTCAAGGCTTATTTGTTGAATAAGTTATGCTTGAATTTAATAAATATAATTTTTTTAGAAAATGAGTGATGATAGCTATACGATTTTTAGTTATTCTATAAATTTCAATTAAATTAAAGACCTCAGATAATTTTTCTTATTTACACAGTATTTCTTTCGATCTTTCTCAATAAATTCTCGTATTTTTTGAGATCGAATCGTGGCTTGCATACGAAAAAAAAAAACAACTAAAAAACAGAAAACAAAGGTAGATTGTTTAGTTTTTTTTTCTCGTTTTTATATATTCTCTGCCTTCTTTGCTTTTACGGCTTTATGATTAGTTGACGCAGTATTTGTTGTTATTGCTAGTGACTTTGCCTTATAGTTTTTTGTGCTAGACTTTTTTATTTTTTGCGGCTACACGTGCTGTTGATTGACTTTCACACACAAACGTTGGCACATTTGCATACACACATTTACATGACCCCAGACGTTGGAGATTTCCGCAAACAAGAAATTGTTGTTTTTCCCTAATCAAAGTAAGCTAGCTTCCTATGTAATAATAGTTTAAAAATTCCACCAATGAGTCATTAGAATTTCGCTAGCGATAAAGCGGTTCAACCATGAACTTTAGAGTTCCCCAAAAGAATTAATAACAAATAAACAGCCTAAGGTTATCTCGGGCACTTGAAGATTAAGGCAACCTAAAAAATATTTAAGCCAAAGATCCGGCCAAAAGACAGACTGAGAGAGGGAGAGAGAGAGGGAAGGCAAAGAAAGCGGACTAAGAAAGTCATCTTAACAACAGTCCAGTTTTATTTTCTTTCTTTCTTTTCGGCTCTGAGAGCTCCGCTCTTACAAAAGCAACAATTGTGTCACAAGTTTTATAAATAAACGATGACAACATGGAGTTTTTGCTTTTTTTCTGATTAGGTATAAAGCTCGACTAACTAAAGGAGAAGTCGCGATCGACCAACGATGAGCTAGTAAAAGACAATCCCCATTGTTGTTGCCTTTTCAGCACAGCAACGTGCCAATCGTTAGCATACGATTAAAGATGATATCGCCATTGGTTATTAGATATTAGATATTAATAGACAGGGGTATGAAATATGAAACACAAAGTTTGTTTCAAACTTTGTCCTATTGGGAATTCCCCCCTGCCATCGTCCAAAGACTGGCTGCGTCACACAGATCCATCAGATACTTTGCTAAATCCCGCTAGTAGATGTGTGTATCTTAGGCTTTGGTTTTTTAAGTTTTTGACCAGCCAGCAAGTCTGAGCAAACCTGACACGTCTCCAGAAAGCAGTTCGACCAGAATACGCACATTAATCTAAATCACATGGTAATATGTGATTGCTTAATAATTAGATATATTTGCTTTTAGAATGTTACTTTGGTGGGTATCATTTTGTATATATGTATAAAAAAGCCAATGAAATTTTGATGGGTTCAATTGTCACACAAATATTTTTAGCCATTTGTTTGTAGAGAATTTATAAACAATTAGAATAATGGCTTGTTTTTATTGGGCATATTAAAAAAGTAAGTGAATGACTGGGAGAGACTTGAACAATCTGAACCAGAAACTCGCCACACTTTTGTGTTTCATCTTTTTTTCGACGGTTGATGTCATGATTTAAAAAGATTAACTTGAATGAGCAGAAATATATATTTGCATATCTCAAAAGCCTAAGAACTTTTGCTTTTTAACTCTTGGGTTTAGTAAAGTATTTGATTGGAAGATCATAAACCCCTAACATCCTGAATAATTCATAATTACTTTCAATGTGTACTGTTAATCGGTTTTTGGGGTTCTAGCAATTAACGATCGTTATGAAATCGCTTAGAACTGCGCAAATTATGGGAAATTCTATTTGCACACTTGACAATTTAGCACTTTACAAATGGCAAAACGCCCACTTGAACCTCGGGTTTAATTCGCCTACAGCTAAAAGTTAACCAGTTACTATTTACACAGGCGGCTTTAATAAAAAAAAACCAAACAGCAGATATAATAATAATAATAATAAAGCTAAAAAGCAACGAGATATCGACCTTATGAGGGAAAACCCAACGTCGCAGTTAAAAGTACTCCACAAGTCACCCAGAGAGTCGTTCATAAATTTATTGACAGTGCAAATATTAAACGTTGCTGCTGCTGTCTTCGTTTAATTTTAATTAATTGTGTTTATTGTTGGGAGGCAGAGTTTTTGGTATTTCTACAACGGGTTTTTGTTGAAACATTTGCCTGTCCTTCACTGTAAAAGGCAGAGGGGGTCATTGATTCGTAATTATATTAATTATGGAATTTCTTAACTGTGTGTTTGGTTTTTTTCGCCTTTAAAATTCTCTGAACAGTGGAATTTCTAAGTGTAATTAGTATTTCCTTTTATATATTATTATTTATTTTGCTGTTTCAGCTGTTTCTCATTTGTTTTCCCCGAAAACGAAACGCGTGCCAAAAGAAGTTACCAGGCCATTAGGGGAATTACCTTTAACTACGATCCACGATCAAAGAAAAAAAAACCCAGCCAGAGCTTAAAGACATGGCCAATGAAATTAATGCCAACTGTCCAAATACCCCAAATAAATGTATATAAACAGGCTATACGCGAGAAAGGAAGGAAAGAAAAGACAATATCAACAAATTAAAAGTTATTTACCCTTAACAAGATCAAGACGTAGGGTAATTCGATTGCTGTCAAACTTTCCCAATGTGGAAATTAGCTTTAAAGTCGAGTGAAAAACCCAGGGAGCGGAGCCCGGCCGCCAAATGAAGCGACGAAAACAAACAGCACAATTTAGCACAATTAAAGCCATGGATTTTCCAAGCCATATGACGATCGGCGACGACTGACTTGGCAATGAAAGTGTTTTGAAAGCAAGTCAGCTCGATCCGATCCCGTTCCCGCTCCGCCCGGCGGGTTATGTCAGCTTATTCGTCCGCTTTGCCTTGTTGACTTTCTTTCTTGGGTGCGATTGTGAATGCGAAATGCAAATAACACCCGACTTGGCTGCGATCGCTTTTAGTTAGGTTTCCCCAACAAACCCAAAAATCGTTTGGGGATCGTCAGCCACGTGTGTGAAGTGCACACACAACAAAAAGAGAGAAATAAAAACATTTGTAACAAAGAAACAAGAAAAGAAACCGAAGTTTATATACCCTTGCAGTTTGCAATGTATAAGGATCGTATGGGAAATGATCATAAGTAAGCTTAAAGTATTCACATTCTTTGAAAAGATATTTTTTATAGCGTTACAGTTTCTGACTAAAATTAAAATACCCTTACAGGGTATAAAAACAAACGAACAAACCGAAATTAAAACGCAAATGGAATTTTTGGGGGAAATCCAATTTGAAGAGGTCAGAAATTGTTGGAAGGAGATCACATTTTGTGAAGTTGTCGTAGTATGGTTTTTCTACAATGCCAACTCAGTTGCAGTTTGGATTTTCCTTAGACATTAGATCGGGTATTATTCATGACACATGCACATCCAACTTCCGTCATTTTGTTTATTGCAATTTGCATGAGCTCACTGTAAGAATAAACAGCTAAGCAAAGCTTAATTCTTAAATAGGAAGTACTTATGTTAACAAGTATAATAAATGAGATCTTAATTCATATCTCTTTAATTTTAAGCAAGTAAAGAAATCTCTTATAGAGTCAATAAACTCTTAAGATTGACCAGTCTTGAGATCTCATCATAATAGAAATCTTATTTATGGTCATGACCATGTCAAAGACATTCACAAAATAAAGAGACAGGAAACATTTCCGTTTTTTAAAAAAGAAGTGATCTAACCTTGTCTGTTGTCTGCTCAAGTGAATAAACTCTTTGATCTCTCTCTAAAGCGTCTTAGGTTTATATTTCAGATATTTTTTAATAAGGAAATGAAACAACAAATAGCTCAATCTCAACTGGTTCCCCATTGCTCAACAGTTGTACGGGACAGCTGCATAAACGGGAGAGTCCCCAGATTTAACCTTGTGTCTTTCAGACAACTTTTTCATGACTAATTTGTTGTTGCCAATATGCATTTATTGTAAAAGTCATTGATAGTTGTCAGATTCTAGATATCAATAAATAATGAGCAGTCAATTAATGCCAACAAAAACAGGTTTTCATTACATATATATATATCTCCATACATAGTATAGTTTATAGTTTATAGGGTCTAGTTTAAATCATAGGTTCGAGATATTTGTTTATAAAACCAAGCCAGTGACGTAAACTGCTTCATAAAGTTGCATCCTCTCGTTTTATGATACAATTTAAAAGGTAAAGTACGTAAATGGTTTTCCAGACTCATGACTACGACTCTTTCTCTCTCTTCAGCTTAGTTCAAGTAGCACGAGACTTTACTATTGCACACACCAATATGGCCAAGATCACTCGTAAATGGTGGTAATATTGATAGAGGGTTTGGTGTGGTAAAAACCGGCAAAACGAACTGATAGCCAGAGTTATCTTTTTTAATGGCAAAAGGTGTCGGGGACGAGGCCGAGGACGTACGACGGCGAACGAACGTACCGAGGCTCGTATAATCGCACAATAAACGACCACCTATGGGGTTTTCCTCAGCTCACTGATAACGCACGATTTCCAGTTACCAATGTCTGCTGACGATCGAACACCGCTGGACATATCTCATTTTTGCTATTTGCCAAGCGGCTGGCGGCAGCTTATCAGCCCGGGGAAGTACGGCCCGAATGACTGCCTCTTAATTTGTGAGTTTTAGTTCAGTTGCCAGCCAGGCCACAGATTTCATGATGGCTTCACTCCAATGGAGTGGACATATGTACATATATGGCACCACATGCTAAACAAATGTTCCATCCATATGGGCTTTTTGATTCTCTGAAATTCCCTCCAATTGGTTTTAACCAAAGACCCTGAAAACATTCCATGTCCAGCAGAAGCGCGATAAGGCCTCAAAGCGAAACACTCTGTCTTCCCCATTTCCCAGGGGGAAATTTATTCAGTAATCGTATTGCAAAAATGTGTGTGCAGAATCCCCAGTAGCTTTTCTTTGGAAATTCATAGCAGAGAAACCTGATAAGTTAAACCGAAAACGTCACTATTATTGTGCGACGCGACTGCGGCTACGATAAGTTTTTATATTCACTGATAACCAATGCAATCACAATCAATCGATTTGTGTTTATTTTGTTTATTATCAAAAGTGGGAAATTCTGGCACTCTTGGATTTCCAAAATCATATAAAGTTGTCAAGCGAATCCCTGCGTTTAGGGAAATCAACTATTTATAGAAAAACCTGTCCTCGAGAGCCTGCGTGTTGGGTTGTTTGGTTATTTATATAATCGAAGTCCATTTCCCCCAGTTGTTGCGTGCCAGGCGCGTTAATGAGGCCCAAAAATGGTTTACGATGGCCAAGTTAACTAAGAACCGTACATATATTATAATTACTATTGTGAGCCCAGTTGGGAATTTCCAGAAACTAGAATAATATATACGTATATAATTATGTTTGGAAGTGGAATACTTTCCCCCTTCGGTCACTTTGATAACAGAAAGCGAGTTAGCAAGCAGCAAGCGAACCTTTCCCAATTTCCGTTTCTGTCTGTGACTTTAATCGACTTAATGTTATCATTATATTCCTTGCTGCTCTATTTCTTAGTTTATTTGTATTTTTTTAATGCATTTTGTCTGCTCTTGCTTGGCTCAGAGCCAGAATGGCAAATGCCTTACATTTTCCCAGTGGCATTTCATTTAAATAGAAGGGAATTTCAAGCAAACCTTAAATCGGGAATAGAAGGTCTTTAAATTTAGATAAATTCTTGAGTTAATTATACAAACTCCTAAAGAGTGCTCCCAGAAGGATTTATTTACTCTTTTATAAATTCTAATGAAAGAAAGAAGTTTGCTTAGTAAAAACAATAACAATAGTTCCTTGGGGAACTTCAAAAAGAATTTTTCTTATAAATTCAATGAAAATTACGGTTAATTCCAGTTGAAATGAAAACATAAACTTTTGGTTCTGGAATTTATAATGAATCTTAATACATATATGAACATGTTTATACCCCTAGAGATGTTGACGTCAATGCTGGGCGGGAAGGAGGATGGGGATGAAATATTTATTTGTTCCACATAGTGAAGGCCGTGTGTTTACAGGGTAATCTCTGGGAATTGCTTTCGAATCCAAATGGTGAGGCGGCATTGGTGGGTCGTGGAACTGACTGACTTTTTTTGGTGATCGCTTGGGAAAACCCAGAAATTTCAAACAGGCGAAATATGTATTCAAAAGCGTCTGACCGTCTCGTTTCTTTTTTCGTTTTTATTTTCTGCTTTGTTGGTTTTTAATAGTTTTTGTCGGAAATGTCTGCGATGTGTTTTGCTATTGCTTTTGGCTAGCCGAAATATATTATGTGCCGTGTGTGTGTCTGAGCAGGTTATATATAGCATCTATAGTATAGTCCACACCAACTATATATATACATAGTATATACATTTATGGGGAGCAGCTGTTTGTTTGTGGAGCTCCAAACCGGTTGGCGCTGCTTAAAGCTGGCCAAAAACAAATGTGTTTGTTCACCAAATGTTTGCCACTCACGAATTTTGGTTTTTATTTTTGGCAAGGTTATACTTGGCCAAAAAAAATATATGAAGGAGCAAGGGGAAGAGGAAAAGGCCAATAGAAATCGATTAAACAAACGAAAGGTTAAACGTAAATAACTTTGATATTGCGATATACTTTCTGACAAGTTTATTAACCTTTTTTTTTGTAACTTGAGAGTCAAACTTTTACTTTCCTGACCCGAAAAGAGGATTGAATACAAAATAAAATCATTAGAAATTACACAGTGAGTTTAAAATAAAATAAAAGTACTTTTCCTCTAGATTACTATTTTAAATTCATATATAAATCCTTTTTTTCTCTGTTCTCTCTCTCAAAATGCCGTATAATATGTGCGGGTGGAAATGCAAATCGATAATTCGATTTGTGCCCCCTGAATACAGAGCAAAATCAAATATGGAAACAAATGTATATAATTATGGGGGGACACGCCTTGTCTGCCTTTACGCGTGGTAAATAAATTTACCTTAAAAATGATTTCCTTGAGATGCAATGCATTCGAAATCAACTTGAGTGCTGGCAAAACAAAAACAAAACAATTACAAACAATTGCGATAATCAATTGAAGTTCCATTTCGATACATGTAACTTACATAAGTGTAAGTAAGTATTTCTGATTCTCTAAAAACAAAACAAATTGTAAATATTTAACTCTATCCTCGTGCAAATTGATTTTTGCTGACGTCTGAGAGACTTTGCAAATGTGTTTTCTGAGCGTTTTTCGTTTATTTTTGGTTAATCAATAACCAAAAGGGAAGGAAGAGGGGAAGACCTGTATTTGATGAGGAAAATTTTCAAGCAAAATGTTTTGCACGGAGGCCAATGTATTTTTGGCATCAGCTCAAAGGCGTCTCCTCTATAGCCCATAGCCATATGCACATACGTCTTTAACGTCCATATATACATATTTTTTATTCTATATAGTAGACGACAATGTCTCGCAATGTGGCTAGCCGTTGGCGGGACACCAGATATATATTTTCCACAAATATAATGTGTATAATTTTTGGCACAGATTCATAATTTTTCATGAAAAATGCCCGCAAATGCTGATGTCTAAAAATAATTTAGTTTACTGGCCAGATTCTACGCTCCTAACTCAAAAATTTCAATACATTTCAGGGAAATCATAAGATAAAAGGTTAAGTGCCCAATTTAGACTGTAACTTATGGGAATACGTTAGGGAAAATGAATTACCTATTCCTAAACAAAACTGTATAATTTATCGTTAATTTACTCACCATCATAGTTGCGAATCTCAAGATCGGCAGGCAGACGGGCGTAGCTCAGTGAGCTAACAGCCTTATCATTGGAACGGTGTCCATATTGACGGTGTGCCTCATGAATCTCCGTGGCTCCAAACTTCTCCGTCAATGCACGGACGCACTGCTTCTCTCCGGCAATGCAGGAAAGGTGTAGAGCGGTATTTCCATGGCTATCGCGCACCGAGGGCTACATGTAAATGTGTAATTGTGACGCAGAATTAAGTAATTGTTTAGATTTAAACATTTGATAGCAAAGTTTGTTTATGTTGCTATTAATAATCACCTCAGCTCCGGCCAGCAGCAGCATCCTCATGATATTGGGCTGGGCGGTGAGGGCGGCCAAATGTAGCGGAGTTTGGGCCACATCGTTCTGAATGTTGAGCAGGCATGGATGCGGGCCATGCGAATTAAGGCAGTTACCACGTCCACGGATCCCGAAATACAGGCCAGGTGCAGAGGTCTGATGATGGCAAAGGGAAAAGAGAGAAACAACAATGAATTTGTGGGTTTATTTACCTGCCTCGATCGAACGCCCGCCCGCCCGCACTTTCTTTCCTTCTTCCTGTTCACTTGTTGCCTTGGGTCAATGTGGCGGCGTAAAAACCCAAGTAAGTTAAGTCGATGTGAATTATTGTGAAGCAAAAGAAGAGCTGATGCGATGCCCCGAAAACCTGTTCGTTCGCTGATGATACCTGTGTACCTGCCCACATACCAGGAAAACCCCAAAGCCTGACTAAAACACATGTGTCAGTCGCGTTTCTCGGCCCAGACAATGGTCTTTTGAGAGTGATTCACGAAACTCTCCCCTTAGCTCACTTGGTGGTCGGTGTGCCTTTGTTTTTTTGGGAAATTTGGAAATGCTCACCGGAAAGACAGCGCATATCGGATACTAGCAAACAAACTTAAATGTGACTTTTAGCAGTTCATCAAGATGGGTATTTTGATATATAATTAATCGGAATTACAGTGACTAGATTCAAATATATACTAAACACATTCCTTCATATAAAAAATCCCTCATTTCATTGTCACTTTCCTCAATTCTGGTTGTCATTAACAATTTAATTTTAGATCTGATCAGACTCGCAAATATATTGTGATAATTTAGGAATATTGCTGATCATTTATTAATTAAGTAGCAAGACTTGTTCATTGAATATTTCGCATTAATATGGGTTATTCGGAGATTATTTGCATATTTTTATTTTTGCCTAAATATTGAGCTCTCTCATTGATCTAAGGTTCAGTTAAGGTATTTTAATATCAATGAAATCTAAACATTTAAGGATCTAGCAGTGAGTTTCTAAGGTAACATTTAATTTAATTGATCCTTTCCCCGGTAAGTGTACACATATGTTTCAGTAAAGATTACTTACGTGTCGCCGACATCGTTTTGCTGATAGAACTGTTCCCATGCATTCATAATGTTGATACTGCTCTGCGGAGCGGTGGAGGGATTCGTGGTGGCGCCGGCAGCTGTGTTGGACTGTGTGGTAGATTGTGGGCCGGGCTTGGTACGGTTAGCCGAAACCTGGGCGGAGCTGCTGCCGCCACTGCTCTGGCCGAGATTGTTTAGCTGCTCGCCGCGACCCGCCAAGTTGCTCTGGACCGTCCATTGCGGTATGCCTGCGTCCGTGCTGTGCTTGAGGCGCATTTGATTGCTGCTTTTGTCCTCCTGGGCGGGCTCCTCCTCCTCTACGTCCTCTTCGTCCTCGTCGATAATGCCGGAATCAAGGACCACGGATTGCTGTTGCTTCTGTTTCTGTTGGGGCTCCTGGTCCTTGAGCTCCGGCTGCTGCTGTTCCTCTGCTTCAGGGATGATCTCCTCGCTGAAGATTTGCGAGGATTGCGGTCCGGAAATGAAGCCCGAATCGCTTGTTTCGCTTTGCACGGCAAATTCCTTGTGCTTTTGGTTAATGGCGGCGGCCGCCTCTTCTTCTTGCGCTTTGCCGCCAAATGTTGACTTTGCGTTTTTACCGCTGCTGTCGGAGGAGGAGGCTGCGTTGGGGGGGCGCTGTTCAACACTGGCAGCGCTGCTGCTGCAGCTACAGTCCTCCTGGCTGCTGTCACTTGTTGCTGTTGCTTTTGTTGCTGCTGCTTCCGCTGCTGTTGTTGGGTTCCACATTTTCGTGCTTTTCCGGACTCTCAGTTAGCTGGAAAATTAATATTTTGTTGTTGTGCGATTCAGTATGCGTTTGAACTTTGCTTTTAAGCTCAGGTTTAATCGAGCGCTGCTCTCTCTCTATCGTTATCTTTCTCTCTCACTCACTCACTGTCACACACTCTCTCGCAAGCTCTCACGTAACTGCGCTTTTTTGCCCTGGCCAGCAAATAGCTGTGGGTGCGAGTGAAACAAACATATGAGCGAACAGCTACAAGTGAAAACGCAATAACAGCATTTTGTAGATTAAAGCAATTTATAAATTATACATGTGTAGCGACATAAAAATAAACGATTCACTGGGGAACTATTTTTGATTTTGCTTGCATTTATTATTTTGCCTTTTCCTTGCGCGCCTCCGAGTTTGTTTCACACGCACACCATATACGCACACACACATAGGGAAATCTTTTATCTCCGCTCACAGCTTCATCTTTTTCATGTTTCCTTCGTCTGCTTGTTCTTTGCTTCACATATCTTATCCTCTATTATCTTGCACTATATTCTCACTACCTTGCTGGTTAATTGTGTTTCAGAGTTTCGTTTCACACGCGTAAGTTGAATATTTTGTTTTGTTAAACTTTTATTTTGCAACTCGCATAGTACCCGTGCGCAACACGTCTTGTTGTTAAACTTTTTTTTCGGATTTGCTGCTTGCACACCCGTATATATAGGTTCCTCAAAAGCCGAAGAGAGCCGAAGGCTGCCGAACGGCCGACGTACCCGAGCACCAGTGTTGCCAGCCGTGCAAAAATAAGTTAAAACAGGCTAAATCTGAAAAACAAGCAATAAACGAGACAGTATTCATTATTATCTTCTTAATTAATGACAGCCAAATTTACGCCAGGAAAAATAATAGGTTTAGATGATTTTAAGCGTTGAAGGCTATAAGCAAGCTAGTTCATAAGCCTATCCATTTTAAAGTATGCCAGATATAGCCTGAAACAAGCTAAACTGGCAGCACTGGCCGGGTGTAACAATTAAGATTTTGAGATTTTAAACAATTTTAAATGCTTAGAAGGATGAGTAGAAGCTACAGCGGTCAAAAACTGGCGACAGTTATCAAGGAGCTGGAGAACTTTGCACCTGTTAAACTGGCAGAGGCGTGGGACAACGTGGGATTGCTGATAGAGCCGCATCGTGAGAAACTGATAACCAAAATATTGCTCACAAACGACTTAACCGAGCCGGTCATGAGCGAGGCGCTCCAAAAGGATGTAAGTCTTATTATTAGCTATCATCCGCCGATATTCCAAGCGCTGAAGAGGATAACGCAGGCGCATTGGAAGGAGCGCGTGGTGGCCGCCTGCTTGGCCAACAATATAGCATTATATTCTCCGCACACGGCGTGGGACAAGGCCTGCGGTGGCGTCAACGATTGGCTCTCGCAGGCGGTGCATATCAACAAGATACGCCCCCTGGAACCGGAATTGGGTGCTCCTCCAGGTACTGGTTCTGGCCGATTTATTGAGACTAAAATGGAAATCGATGAGTTGGTGCGATCCCTCCAAAATCACATCCAGAACAGCGTCCACATAGCTTTGGCTGTCAACCACCATCCCAAGAGTCTCATCCAAACCGTGGGCATTTGTGCTGGTTCCGGTGGAACGCTGCTCAAGGGTATCAAAGCTGATCTCATCATTTCGGGGGAAATGTCACACCACGAGCTGCTGGAGTTTAATCACAACAATACCACAGTGCTGCTGTGCAATCACAGCAATTCGGAGCGGGGATTTCTCAAGCAATTCGCCCCAAAACTAGGGGAACTCTTGAAGGGAGACTGCGAGATCATTGTGTCTGCCGAAGATAAGGATCCCTTGATAACCGTGGCGAAGGAATCCTCTTTAATTGATACGTTCAAGGAAGTACAGTAACAGGATTTGCAATGAAAGTTTAATGTTTAACAATGCATTTACTCGCATCCTCCGTAATGTTTAAAAATAATAATAAAAGAATTTTTGAACTGCCTTAACTTCTAGACTTGATCCAGCTTGAACTTGCCGCCCTTGCTGGCGGCATCGTTGCGATGGAGTTGATACAACAGACGCTGTTCCAGATGCTTCACAGCTGCCACCGTTAGCACCAGAGTGTCGTGCTTCAGCATAGAATACACGTTTAGGCCAAAGGAAGGCATCAGATTGACATACCCCAGATTATCGCTGGCCTGGGAAATGTTGGCTGGAAACATGTGATCCCTGGAAAAGCAAGAAATATCTAAATTGGAATATCCTTCGTCTTGGAATTGGGCAAATACTCACTCATCGACAATCAAGACCGAGGGTCCCCAGTTTCGCTCGGCAATTAGATCCTTCAGGAACTGTGCATCTCCCGTGGGTATGTCCACACCTTCAACGATGTGCAGATCATCCTGGGCCAGCTTGACGCTCAAAGTGGAGGTAAGTCCGAGAACGCGCTTGTAAAAGGGCAGCATGTAAAAGTGAGTGGTGGGGAACGGGGTCCGTGGACCACGCCACCGCCCTTGAACAGGGGTGACCGGATGGAACCATGCCGAGCACGGCCCATGCCCTTCTGTGGCCACGGCTTGCGGCCGCCGCCTCGCACCTCCGCCCGTGTTTTTGTGTGGCCATGCTTACATAACGATACTTTCGCTGCCACTCCAAATTCTCCTGGATAATATCGACCCGCGGCTGAGCGGCAAAGACGTCAGGATGCAGCTCAATCAATCCCACCTTGTGTTCCGCCACCGCGTCCGTGTTCTCAATCCATGCCTGTCTGGCTGTGTTGCGGCTCACCGGCGAGTAGCTGGCGGTGTAATCTTGCGGCAAAATCAATGGTGTGGACTTCTGCGTCAGCGGAGCCGTCGCCGTCGTAGCTGGTGCGGATTCGGTCGCCGCATTGCCGTGATTGGTGCTTCGGGTGAAGGTCCTGGCCACTGGATAGAGCACCTGCCTGGATTTATTCAAAATATTCTTCAACATTTTCCGGCAGCGTGCAATTCAGTGGGACCGTAGCTGGATTGCCGGGGAATGTCCAAGTGATGACAAATACCAGGTAAAAATGGCCACACTAACTATTCAAAAATAATCAAATGTTTATGTTGTATTACTTAAATTTAATTTAACTTAGATAAATTAACTCAAAGTCCACACTTTCAAAATTTGACAGTTTTGGTAATGCATATTGAAATGTCATTAATATGTGTTGATAAAACCAATTTTTCCAGTTTTAGCACTTATTTTTTATTCAGTATCATTTTCAATTTTGTAAAGTAACTTTAAATAATTATGATTGAGAATTTTATCAAAATATTTATATAACTTTTTTCGTTAAAATTCTCAATCATCGCTATTGCCCAATTTTGTAGAATCCATTGGCACATTCACATTGCCTGTTGTTGTTTGTCGACCTAGACGATGCCGACTTCTCCTCCACTCCAGGTTCTTGGGGATTATAGCAATATATTTTTTCAGCGATTTCAACACAACTGCAGCTTTCCTGGCTGAAACGGAAACTGGAGTCGTATAGGACTTTAACCTCTTCATTATCCTGCGGTTTCTGGACACACGGACAGGTTGGTTGGTACTCTCTGGCAGGACATTCTTCAATTTGGTTGCAAGGTTGCTCATTGTTTCTTTCTTTTCGAGTCTTCGGTTTTTTAAGGCAACATAAATATTTTGGCGATTCATTAGTATTTTCCTGCCTTTCTGATATATCTTCCCCATTTTGAATCACATTTTTCTCTCTTTTTCTGGAACTTCGCTGGTTGGACTGGAATTCTTTTAACCAAGATGGCTTTTTCTCACCTTCCTTTGGTAACCCATATTCGTCTTCAGCATATTTACGTCTTTCTTTTTTGCAACAATTCTCCTCCGGTTTTTCTTTCTTCTTGCAACAGTGAAGTCCACTCATTTTCGATTTACTTTTTTCACTTTTTAAATCATTTCCTTTTCTAACATTTCTACATCGATCCCTTTTGCCATAATTCTCACTTTGAAAGGAAGGCTGTTTTTCTTTTTGCTTACAACAGAGAAATCCACTCAATTTTGATTTACTCTTTTCGCTTTCTGAATCATTTTCTTTTTTAACTTTTCTACATCGATCCTTTTGCCATAGTTCTCACTTTGAAAGGAATGCTGTTTTTCTTTTTCTTACAACAGAGAAATCCACTCGATTTTGATTTAGTTTTTTCACAACAGTGGTCAATTTCTTTATTAATAACTCGACGTCTATCTTTTTTGCCATAATTCTCATTTTGAGTAGAAGGACATTTTTCCTTTTTCTTACAACAGAGAAGTCCACTTGATTTTTTTTTAGTCATTTCCTTTTGAGAATTATTCTCTTTTTCAACATTTCTGCACCCTTTTTTGGCAAAACTCACACTTTGAAAGGAAGGATGTTTTTCTGTCTTCTTAAAACAGAGAAGTCCACTTGATTTTGATTTAGTTTTTTGACTTTGTAAATCATTTTCTTGTTGAACATTTCTGCGTTTTCCTCCTTTTAAATAACTCTCTTCACATGGTGGCTGTTCTTTCTTCTTACAACTGAAAAATTCACTAATTTTTGATGAAGTTTTTTCATCATTTTTACGCCTTTCTTTTTCTCTTTTTGGTCAGGACTCTTTTCTTTCTTCTTAAAGCAGGCAAATATACTAGATTTTGATGTAGATTTTTCACCATTTCTCCGTCTCTCCTTTTTCGATTTATTGGTGGATTTGTAGTAAGTCTCCGACTTTTTTGGAGGAGGAGGTTTTTGTTTCTTCTTAAAACAGGCAAATATACTCGATTTTGATGTAGTTCTTTCAGCATTTCTACGCCTCTCTTTATCTGATATATGGCTGCAACAAATAATCTCAGGTTGTTCCCACTGACAACGAGGTCTTTCCTTTTGTTTACAACAAAGGTATCCACTGGACGTTGAGTAGATAGATCTTAGATCATCCTGGCAACTGCAGTCTGTTATTTGGGTGTAACAAATAATCGTAGGCTGTTCCCGCTGACAACAAGGTCTTATCGTTTGTTTACAACAAAGGAATCCACTGTACGTTGAGTGGATGGGTCTTAGATTACCTTGGCAAATGGTGTTCCTGCAACTGCAGTCTGATAATATGGATATAGAATCGCAATCGGAGTACTCATAGGATTGGCGTTGGGAATGGCATGATCTTCTACCGCCATTTTGCCTCGAGTAAGATTGTGAAATTTTTTTGGGATACTTGCAATTATCCTTTTGACTTTTCAGATTTTTGGATCTACGAACAGGAGGGCAAACTTTAACCGATTCCCGAGCTTTACATTTTTCTATCTTATCTTTTTCATAATTATTCAAAATATGTTTTTCATAGCTATTAAGAAGAGGATCCGGCATCAGATATGGATTAGGTCTGTTTCTAGTACAATTTTGTTGCTGTATTCCAGAGGCGTTATTAATTGCAATTGTATCAAAGGGTACATATCGATGATACCATTTTTTGCTCGAGGACTTTATCTCTTTTGAATCGTCACCAAACTTATCTGATTTGCCACTGTCTTGACGGTTTATTTTATTTGTTATATCTGTAAAGTTAACCCTTTGGCGTCTAGCAAGGTCTTCGTGGCATGAATCCTTAGGAACTTCCTTGAATATATTTTCTTCAGTTTTAAACTGACTACCAACAATATTTGATTCAAAAGGTTCGAATCCACCACTCAGCCATAGGTTATTTTTATTTACTGTGCAATGGGGATTCAGACATGATTCAATACTGCTTGATTCGTCACATCGGGACAGAGAATTCTCGCATAATGCGGAACCGGAAATTTCTTGGTATGGTATGGCACAGGCTCTTTTTAATTTTCCTGGACATTGTGGATTATCACATATAATCGATTTATTTGGTACTCTCTTTAATCTATCTGCACAGTTGGGATTTTCACAGACTTCCGAATCTATTTCCAATCTATTTCTTTGGAATCTATATGGACAGTTTGGATTTTCGCAAACTTCTGTATCTATTGATTCTCTATTTTTTGGGCATCTATATGGACAATTTGCGTTTCCACAAACTTCCGAATCAATTTCTTTCATATTTCTTGAGATTCTATATGGACAGTTTGGATTTTCACAAGCTTCTGTATCGAAGTCTTCTCTATTTCTAGCGAATCTGTATGGACAATTTGCGCTTCCACAAACTTCCGAATCGATTTCATTCATATTTCTTGAGATTCTATATGGACAGTTTGGATTTTCGCAAACCTCTGTATCGATGCTTTCTCTATTTCTTGGGAATCTATATGGACAATTTTGATTTCCGCAGGCTTCCGAAGAGATGGCTTCTCTATTGCTTGGGTATCTATATGGACAATTTGGGTTTTCACAGACTTCCGAATCAAATGATTCCCTATTTCTTGGGAATCTATAAGGACAATTTGGATTGTCACAGACTTCCGAATCGATGGATTCTCTATTTCTTGTAAATCTATATGGGCAACTTAGATCATCACAAACTGCCGTATCGATGGTTTCGCAATTCTTTGGGAATCTGTATGAACCATTTGAATTTTCACAGACTTCCGAACCGATTCCCAATCTATTTCTTTGGAATTTATAAGGACAATTTGGATTTTCACAGACTTCTGAATCGATGTCTTCTCTATTTCTTGGGTTTCTATTTGGACAGTTTGGATTTTCACAGACTTCTAAATCGATTTCTTTTATGTTTCTTTGGAATCTATCGGAACAGTTCGGATTTTCACAGACCTCTGAATCATTGTCTTCTCTATTTCTTGTAAATCTATCGGAACAGTTTTGATTTTCACAGACTTCTAAATCGATTTCTTTTATATTTCTTGAGACTGTTTGAGCACAACTTGTACTTTTTTCTTGAAATTCACCAGGTACTAATTTTTTAGTAAAGTTTGAAGAAAAGCAATGTGCTTCTTTTCTTAAATGATCGGCATTTTGTGGAATTTTGCAAGGTAGCTTATGGTTTATATTTCCCATGCCAGTCTTCACATCTGCATAAAAACGTTGTACATTGCCATATTGAAAGCCATTTTCAGTTTGATGGGTCTGAACTCTTTTAGATCGCGAAGATAAATGTTTTTGGAAAGTAACTCTGCAACGATTGTTTGGATCCTGATTTGCCAATTGCATTGCATCCAATGAACATTTTGCATATCGTTGTTCTGCCATTTGCGTCCTGGCCAAGGCATTAACTGGACAAACTTTTGATCGGTGATTATTTCCATACCAATCTGAATTGGGAAATATGCTTTTTCCTTCCGGATCATTTATTGATCGGTTCTTTGGAAAAGGTGTAGAATAAGTTGGCTCATTGTATGGATGCATTGGAACTTTCCGGTCGATCATATTAGCTGGGTAAGTCTGATCCATTCTGTTATATGCTCTAGCTATATCTGCAGCATTTCTATATGATAGTTTTATATTTGCCGGATTATTTTGGTTCCAGTTATAACCTAAAGGCATTCCCTTCCTATCTTGATATATATTGGTTGTATTCATTCCATATTTATAAGGATTATTGGCATGGTATGGGTTGATTGGTCTTCCAAAATTGCCATTAGGTGAATGGGAATATCGATTTGAATAGCGACAACCAGGACGATGGTAATTATGTGGTTGATACAAAGTCCAGCCTGGTGGGAAAGGCGAATTCAAAGGAGTCGATCTTGGTTGGCAGGGGGGACTCGGTCGAGACAATCCTTGTTGGCATGGCAGACTCATAGAAGGCAATTCTTTTGGCAAGGTGGAATCAAGGGAGATAATTCTGGTTGGCATGGTGCAGGAGGCAAAGGAGGCACTTCTAGTTGGCAAGGAGTACTCAAAGGAGGAAATTCCTTTTGACAAGGAGGAATAGAGAGCAACAATTCTGGTTTGCAAGGTGATGGTATCGAGGGAGGCGATTCTGGTTTGCAAGGTGGTGATATCGGGGGAGGCAATTCTGGTTTGCAAGGTGGACTTAAGGGAGACAATTCTGGTGTACAAGGTTTACTCGAACATGGCTCTTGAGCTAAATTTGTATTATTTGGTGCACAGGGAGGTTGTTTTTTCCATTTTGGTTCACATGCATTCCCTGAACTCCTGCTACTCTCATATCCCTTACCCTTCTTAATTTCTTTTTGCAAGCCAGCCACAGTTTGTTGAAGTATAGACAGTATTTTAATAACATCGCATTGGTCCTCCAGTGAATCGGATCTTTTGTAATAACTGTTTTCATATGATTGTGATCTCCTTTGATTGATTGTAGTTTCCTTATTTACATCATTCCTTTGACTAGTAGACCGATCCCGAATTCTGCTTGACCTTCGGGTTCTTTTACGAGGATTCCGAGTTGTACGTTTGCAATGTTGCGACTCTTCCTGGCTGCACTCGCATAGGCTGGTAGTGACAGATGGACAGTCTTTAGCGTCCTGATTCAACAGAGTTTCATTACACTGAAGACTATTATGTTGATGGCATACCTTTGGCAACAGTTTTTGAGAAGCCGGACACGAATTTGGCAATATTGGTTTACAAGACGTATTCGGTGGTGACAACTCCTGTTGGCAAGGAGCATATGAAGAAGGCAATTCCTTTTGGCAAGGAGCATATGAAGAAGGCAATTCCTTTTGGCAAGGAGCATATGAAGAAGGCAATTCCTTTTGGCAAGGAGCATATGAAGAAGGCAATTCCTGTTGGCAAGGAGAATATGAAGAAGGCAATTCCTGTTGCAAGAGAATATGAAGAAGGCAATTCCTGTTGACAAGGAGCATATGAAGAAGGCAATTCCTGTTGACAAGGAGCATACGAAGAAGGCAATTCCTGTTGACAAGAAGCATAAGAAGAAGGTAGTTCCTGTTGACAGGAGCATATGAAGAAGGCAATTCCTGTTGACAAGGAGCATATGAAGGCAATTCCTGTTGGCAAGGCTGGAATGATGGAGGTAATTCTTGATTGCAAGGTGGACGCGGAGAAGACATTTGAACCAATTCTACAGAATTTTTGCGCACCACATTGATTTGCTTTTTGTCCGATTGGAATGTCATAGAATTGCTTTTAACTACCCGTAGAATCGTTTGTTGTTTTGAGTTCTGTTCCTGCCTTGACAAGTTTGAACCAATCATTTCAACTGCATTTAATTGGGCATTCAAGCCCGTTTCGCAGCATTCGTCTTTGATACAATTGGCATCATTAAAACGATTTGCTGATATATTGATGGTTTGCTTTCGACTTGATAATGGTATTGGATAGGATCTATTTTCATCGAGGGGACATTGAGCCTGATTGAACGAACAGTTGGCTGAATTTTCATCAATTCTTTTTGTCATTATTATTTTTGATGTTTGAGTAATTGCTTCAGTGCACTTTCTATTGGCAAAAGCTTCACATGGCTTGCATTCGTACTCCATTTCGCAGGTTCCCCTTCCAGAGCTTCCGGTTCCAAAAGAGTCCCGACAAGTTCCCAAAGTATAAGAAGGTCTTGGGGGTCTTGATCTTTGGGGGCAGTTGGCTGTGGACAGTTGGTGGAGGCAGTTGGCGGTGGGCAGTTGGTGGTGGTGGCCGGCACCTGTACTATAAATAAGAGGAATTAGTCTAGATCTTGATCTTTGCATAGGCTAGTGCAATATTACCTGTTCCAAGTACCGAATCGCATGGTTGTTTATCGATATAAGATATATGATAGTTTTCCCCTCGGGGCGATTCATGATATGCATAATCATTTTCATCAAAACTGTTACCATGAAATCGTACCGAATTTCTTGACAACGAAGGATGCATATCTGGACATCTTCTTGAACACATACATGTTCCGTTTTCATCCGTTACACATCCTTTCCTGTTTCCATTTTGGAACATTTGCAATAACAGGTATTCCTTTCGCTGTCTCTTCTCACTTTATTTGATATATATTTACATGTGCCTCGATCAGACCTTGACTTTCTTTCCTGACTCTCACAAGAGTTTAAACTCGATAGAGTCGTATTTACACATTGGTTATTGTCATCGCCCCTTTCTAAAAATTCTTGCATTTCCGTTTCACTGGGTATTTCCAGGCTCCAGACTCCAGCGTTCACATACATTGGCGGTGGCCTGCTAACCTTATCTATTTTCTTGTAGAAGGAATCGGAGCGACAATTGCGATTTGGACCGTTCTCCGCTGTTGGATCAAATTCAGTTTCGGAGGCACTATAGCCGCCATAATTTTGAAAGGTGACTCCAGGACAATTTAACTTACATTTGGAGGACATATTTGACATTTCACTATTGGATTTTGATGGATATGGAACCTGTCCGACCTCTTCGCCACTGTAGACACGGCCCGTCAGCTTGACACCGCTACTCTGGCTGGATCCTCTTTTGCGGGCTGTTCTATCTCCCGAAGAATTATTCCGGCTGCTAGCTGGTGGTCTCATCCGCGGTAGGGCCCCAGAAACGACTGCGGCTGCGGTTCTTAAATTCTTTCGACGGGCCTTTTTCTTAATGGGTGGACATTGAGACGAGTCACCCGACTTGAGGGGCATATTAAGATTGTGATCGTAGGGAGTTCGATTGAGGGGGGAGCAATTGGTTATCTCGTTTAGAGATCCCTTGGAATTCGTGGTCTTAGCATCCTCCGCGCTCACAGTCTTTGGCCATTTGGACGGGTATGCAGATGCGCTGTTTTGAGATTTAGTACTGCCCCTGGAAGTGTATCCTGATCGCTGTCCGCTTAGATTTCGAACACCAACTGGGAAGATATTTTAATAAAGATTAGCAAATGCTAAGCTTAATAGTACTAGGCAACCTACCATTTGGCTTTGGTTTCCTACAGGATGATGAGTCCTCACAACTCGACAGTTTTCCGGCTGCTTTCCTTTCCCCGGAATCCGAAACGAGCTGGCTGCCAAAACCCTCCGCACTTTTCCCACCGATCGCGATAGAGATCTTTCCTGGGTTAGCCCCAAATCTCTGGCCATCGATGGCAGCACTAAGACATTGCCTTTGTCGCCATTCCGATTTCTGCCAGAAAATTCTATGGCATCCTGGCTCTTGATAACGCCTTTCGTCTGGCAGGCACGGCGCAGGAGGATTTGCTGAGCGGTGCGTCGTCTTTTAATTGGGGAAGTCGTCATCTCAAAGGAGTAGAGAAGCGGCAGTTTTAGAGGCTTAGAAGTAACATTGCCGGATGAAGTCTAATGACAGTTTAGGAAAAGTCAACACGAAAGATGGAACTAGATTATGGTTTATTGCAAGATTTAAATTAGGGAGTATGGGGAGACCTGGCTAGGATTAAGTATAGGCGGTGTTTTATTTTTAAATAATCAGATATCAGTTAGGGTGTTAATATCCAACTGGAATTGACACGGATCCTATAAATCTGTCAGATAAGGTCTCTCTGGGTTCTTCAGAAGTCATTTTAAATTATCTGACAAATGGTATGGGATCTATATGAATTCCTTGGGATAGGTATTTCATTGGTTATTGATCAGCAAACTGGTCAGCAATTGATTTTATCCTAAGAAGTGTTAATAATGCTTCCAGAAATTAGTTTTAACAGCCGCCACGCCTTCCTTTACAGCAATAGTCCAAGTTGTACGTACTCATTCCCATTGGATCACAGCAGTGGGGATGTAAGCAAAATTTGCAGTAAGGACTGATACCATACTCCAAGCATCTGGGCTTTGGATAGAAGAGAAGTGGTGGATTGGCAAATCGATCCAACAAGACCTTGGGATACTTCTTCTTTCGTCGCCTTTTGGGTCGATTTTTCTTTTTTAAATAGCACATGCAATCGGTGTTCGGTACCAGACAGCGTAAAGTTCGCTCCAAATTGGAGAGATCGCACGAAAATTGGAAGCCTTCTTCTGGTTCTTTCAATTCTGAAAGTGTCGCGATGTTCGATACACCTTGTTCCTTACAGCTGCATTTGTCGAAGGAGTAACAGCTGCATTTGCTTTGTGAATCACAGCTGCAATTGTTTTGGGAATTAAAGTTGCTGTGCCTTGGGAATTGCCTTGAGAATTGCCTTGAGAATTAAAGCTGTCCATGTCTTGGAAACTAGTGCTGCATTTCTCAAAGAAGCTTAGGCTGCACTTGTCCTCATCTTCGTCGGATGCCGTCCCACATTGCGAGTAACAATCGAAATTTGCACAATCTGTACAATTTGTATAATTTGTACACTTGCAACCGCGACAATTGGATGGTTTCCCGACCGAGATGCAAATTGGAACCTGTTTCGATTTTGTGAATATATAAGAAGTTATTACTGAAATCTGGACAACCAAGATCCCTGATATTTCCCCTATTATGTACCTGTATGCATCTAAATGTCTTGTTGGTGTTATCAGTCACAACAACATCCTGCATAGTCTGCTGACTACAACACTTCGAACGGCTATCTTGATTATTGTCTTGTATTTTTGATTTTATACTTCCTGATCCTTTGCATGTGAAACAACTATGAGACTGTTGATCTGAATGCTGAGATGGTTCTTCCTCAGGATGTGTGTCAATAGAAATTTTCGAGATTCCACTTCCTGCCAAACGTCCATCTGGTTTTTTCCTTGCCTGAGGCCCGTCTATGGTTTTGCTTGGAAACGATTCAATAGTAGACACTGACTTAATCACTCCCAAACGACCCTCTACTGATTTGGTTCCAACCGATAGAAGAGTATAGTCTGACTTAGTCCCTCCAACAGGCTTATTCGATCCCCATCGACTGTGTGTGCTTTTGCTTTCAACCGATTGAATAGTATTGTCTGACATAATCTGTTCAACTGACCTATCCCGATCCTCTGACATAGGTCTGGAACATCGGCAGTTTCGGTACTGAGTCGGAGCACAGCGATTCTTGACGAGTCGGCGTAACCATTGGGTGAATATCTAATGGATTTAAAGATTAGTAAACACATTTTCCAAATGTACAGAATATATTTCTCTGTTTCTTTACCCTCTAGGCTGTTCCCTCGGGGAAACTTGGTACCTAGAAAGAAAAGTAACTCCTTAAAATTATTCGTTGATAAAAAAGAAAATAAGAAAACATACCAGCTTCGATGGTTTTGATTGGAGCCGCTGGTAAGAGAATAAGAATGCAATTACCTAAAAATTAGAATATATATTATCAGCTTACTATCGGAAACGTTCGTCATTTCCTGATCTTCGTCCAGCTCCAGGCGCTGCATTACAATACCTATACGTTTTATGACGTTCTCAAAATAAAACCAATGTTTTGTTTTATGTCACTTCCAAGTCTTACCTATTTGGTGAGCCCCGTGATCGTGAGGAGCGTCTTGGTCCCGGACCTGGAGATCCTCTGCCTCTTGGGCGGGGATATCCAGGTCTGGAGCTTGGATATCCTTTAGCTCCTGGGGAGGGATATCCAGGTCTGGGACCTAAATATTCTCTAACTCCTGGGCAGGGATATCCCGGTCCGGGTCCTGGACAACCCCTAGGTGGTTGGCAGGGATATCTCGGTCTAAGGCCTGGACATCCTCTATGTTCTAGGCAGGGGTCTAAGCCCGGACACCCAGGACAGCATCTCCAGGCAGCCGATGGTGGTTCTGAGCCCGGACACCCAGGACAGCATCTCCAGGCAGCCGCTGGTGGTTCTGAGCCCGGACACCCCGGACAGCATCTCCATCCAGCGGATGGTGGTTCTAAACCCGGACATCCCGGAACGCATCTCCTGGCAGGAGCTGGAGATTCTGATCCCGGACATCCTGGTACGCATCTTCTGGCGACCGCTGAGATTCTGAACCCGGACATCCCGGAACGCATCTCCTAGCAGGCACTGGAGATTCTGAACCCGGACATCCCGGAACGCATCTTCTGGCAGACGATAGTGGCTCCGCCTTGCTAAAAACCTTACAGTGTTAGGGAAAACCAGACAAAAGATGGCAATACATTCATCACTAACTTGACAACAACCAGCAGAATGGTGGGATTAGGGGGCAAAGGCGGTGGTGGTGGCTGTGTATCCTCTTCTGGTAAAATCTCGGAGGGACCATTAAGCCCTTCTGAAGAAAAATTTTGCTGTGGTTGAACGGGGATTTGCTGTTCACTAAGTGTCTTGGGCTGTGGTGTATCCGCGGCCACACTCTCCATAGAACGACGTGTCTGGGTGGACATCCGCCGAAAGATATCTTTATCTGTTTCAGCCATACTTAAAGACAAGACATCCATCCAAGGTACGTTGTCCGGTTGCCGGAGGACACAGTTCTTGCACCTACAAATCGGCTTTTCCGGTGGCTTTTCACAGAACATGTTTGCATCCGGGTGCCATTACTACCAGCACCAGCAATCAAACCCAAACTCCCATTTAAAAATTTGAAAGAAAGTCGAAAATAAGAAGTTATGGCAAATAATTTAAAATCTGTTAACTTTGATGGGTGAGGCTAATATGACTGATCTCGATAAGTTCGTCTTTCTTTGGAAATTGAGGAACTATTAAATCGTTTTATACTACTCCTATTAATAGACCGTGCAGTATCCTCAAAATCCATTGGATATCTGCCAATGGTTATTATTTCGGGTTCGATCGGCGTTTGTTGCTCCCTCTCGAACTTAACTTTATGGCTATCTTTGGATTTTCCCCTTGGATTATTAATTGAAAGGCGTTGCCTTGGCTTTAGGGAGGACCTCTTACAGATCCTAACAATCTTTACTGGCTCCCGACTAGTTAATCCACTTATGTCGGTGGTGCTGACTGCCTTATCAGTGGTGACCCTAAAATTCACAAAGCTATTACAATTGGCAATCTTTTGATCTGTTTGCTGTTGTTGGTCTCTCGTGATCACTTGACTTTGCTTCTGCATTTCCTTAAAAAACTCCTGCTCCATTTCTAATTCGGCTAATTTATGGCTAGCCCCTAGATACCACTCATCATCATCTACATGCTCCTCCTCGGCCTCTAACTGGAGTTCCTCCTCTTTTTCCTCTTCGACGTAGGAGTACAAGAGATTGCCTCCGGTATGGCGATGATATTCACAACTCGTACTGTAAGTAGATGTTTGCGGAAAGGCGACAACTGGATAATTTAGTTTACTCGACGGATGACAAGAGTCCATTTCATGATCTCTGTCCATATCATCTTCTGATTTCATACTTGGCGGTGGGGCCCTGAGTGGGGAAGGCGGAAAGTGTTCACTTATTGTCATTAGAGAGGGAATCTTAAAATCTTCGGTAGGTTTTTCTCGTTTGTGACATTTCGTTGGATATCTTATAGTGGGAGGTGGAGTCTTAAAATCTTCAACAGGCTTTTCTTGTTCCGGAGTCCTAACCAAGCCACATTTCGTTGGATATCTTATCCTGGGAGATAGTACCTCAAAATCTTCGGCAGGCTTTTCTTGTTCTTGAGTCGTAACTAAGCCACATTTCATGGGACTCTGAATGGTCATGGGAGATGGTACCTCAAAATCTTCGGCAGGCTTTTCTTGTTCTTGAGTCGTAACTAAGCCACATTTCATGGGACTCCTAGTGGTCATGGGAGATAGTACCTCAAAATTTTCGGCAGGCTTTTCTTGTTCCAGAGTCCTAACTAAGCCACATTCCATGGGACTCCTTATGGTCATGGGAGCTGAATAATCAAAATCTTCGACAGGCTTTTTAGTTCCTGAATCCTGACTAAGCCACATTTAACAGGACACCTTATGGTATTGGGAGATGAAATCTCAAAATCTTCCACAGCCTTTTCTTGTTCCTGAATCCTGACTAAGCCACCATATTCCTTGCAGCATTTCATTGGACACCACATGGTGGTGCTAGAGTCCCTCATTTGTGGACTGAAGAACATTGAACCTAAAAACGAATTATTATAATATATATTTTTAATTGATAAGCATTTTGTTGTCACCGCGTCTTACCTCTACTGTCTATCGAATTTGAAGCCTTTAATATTCTTGGCAGTCTGCCCAAGTCATCAGTACTACAACTCCGACTCTGTACATGCGTAAAGGATTTGGAAGAACGTTTCCGTTTTCTTTCCTTTAGCCAGGGTAGGCGTTCAAAGTGGGTTTTACTTTCAGTCGGACAGGGAGCCGGCTCCATAACATATGGATAATTCAAAGGATACATATTTGGATTTGTGATCACTGGTGGTAATATCAGTGGTTGTACAGGTAACTGCAACACCTGGACCGGTGGTTTGGAAGGAGGCCCCATTTCGTGTGTATCCATATACTCATTATTGTTCGACTTTGCTGTCATATAGTTATTTAACAGTCCGATAGTATCATATATGAGATCAAGTAGTACAGGGAGCTGATTGTTTTGAGGATTCTGGTCCTCTGGAACCTCTGTTGCATCTGGTTCGACATTATTTTCCGGCTCCATGTTATTTTCCTCTTGCAAATAACTCTCTAGAGTCATTAAAACATTCTTAAGATCACAGGCAGCTTTCTGACCTGAATTGTTGGCATACCATTCCTGAGGGGGCTCTTCTTCTGGTGGAATGAATTCATTAACAGGAGCATACCCGTATTCCTCGCCAGCATATAGACGGTTTACTGGATTTACAAAATTTCCACAGCTATAAAAATGTTCATTCGATCCCCAATCACCGCAGATCCAAGGATTTGCCTCATAAACTGGTGGATAGGTCATAAAGTATGGATCAGGCAATGCAGTTTTTCGTCTCCTTCGCGATCTTACTGGACCGGCACCATTGGTCTCGATATTAAGACAAAGGCGACGAGTCCTCCGTGTCGTTGTGGTTCTCGTTGATGGTATGGCTGCTATAGGTTCCAATCTTGAATAAAATCTTCTGCGATGCTCCAGCATGGTTAAGTTTCGATTTCAAGTTTTTGCTAAGAAAATCAAATTTTGATAGTTTTCCCAAAAGTTGAAAGCAATTTCATTGATTGGAGATTGGATGGGAAAATAATCCTTAATCGCTTGATAAACTTTTAAATCCTGCTCAGTCAATATTATTTTAAACTTGAAGACAATTAATTTAATTCACATTTTAAATCTTTATTTCATTAGTCTTTTGAAGCTTTTGGAAAGTGTAAGTGTTTATGCACAATAATGAATGAAATGGATTACAAATTTTATATAAAAGTTAATGAAATGATCGAGGTATGGGATTGTAAAATATATCTTTTTTACTTCAGCTTCTGGCGTACTTCAACCCGGGCATTCATGTGCCCAGACTCGCCGGGAATCTGACTTCGAAAATGAGCCCACTCTTTCTGATAATACTGAAATAGGGCAACCGGATCACAGTGCTTGGCCTTTCCACGGCGTCGATCTGCCAAGAGGACTAATGTATTAAATACACACTCAAAGCGGGATGTGATGGAAAACTTACCCAAATAGGATCCGCGACTGGTACTGCGTGGATGAGATTTACTGCGCCGACGACGTTGCATCCTGTTAAAATCCACATTCCGATCCGATTCCCAGCCGCTAGATACCCGCGGCTCCTTCTCCTGGCGGGTCTTGCTGCGACTGCGACGCCTGCCGCGGGCTACAGGATTAACCGGATTCAAATCCCTAAGGCCAGCTGGAGGTATGGATGCTTCCATCAGGAGCTTCTCCTTGAAGAGTCGAGCTAAATCATCAGAGTTCGAGCCTCCATTCGAACGATGCAACTGCTCCTGGTCATTCTGATCAGTCCTGGAATCCTTCTTGCCACTGGCCCACGACGATGATGTAGGGGCCGCATTCTCCTTATCCTTGTCTCCAGTTAATTTGGCACGCGAGCTGACGGTGCCGCGTTTATACAAGTTGTTGCTGCTGGAATGGGTCGCCCTTGCGTTCTCCGCCAGACGCTCCTCATGCTTGATGAGCTTGCGCAAGTCTAGATTGAAAAGGAAACGGATATAACAAGTGACAATTAGCAGGGAAATGAGGATGATGGAAGGGCTTAGCCCGTGTCTGGTGGGTGGAAGGGATGAGTAATGGGGAATGGAACTGACTGCATAAGGTATTGCTAAAATTAAAAACCCTTCGTTTGCACTGCATTCAAAATAAATCAAGACTTTTGTTTATTTTCAATAGAATATTTAATTTAATTTACTCTTTGTTTTAATATTTTTTTTACACTTGCTTTTGGTTTTTGTTTTTTAATTTATCTTCGTTACATAATATAGTTTACTTTTTTGCCTTTCTTTTCTTTGCTTGAGCGTTGACTTGATAATTAGTACATGGCTAGAAAATAAAAACAGTAGAAAGAGTGTTTTGATTTCCACATTTAAAACAGAAAACGTTAAATGGAGAACTTGACTACTTAATAACTAGAAAATGAGAGATTTTTGGAATAGTCCGAATTGATTTGATGAGAGAAGGGGTACTGTTTATGGAGCATAGGGAATTTGAGCTAAACTAAGATTAAACTAAGGCTTATGTACGTATTTCTTGTGTGTAGTTGTGTGCCATTTTAAAATTAGCTACATTTAGTTGATGGATAATGGGATTTGTGTCCTCACATTTCAATTGTTCAGTTAAATTTGATGTAATTGATGACAATTGCAATATTTTTCAGGTTCCTAAAACTTCTGGTTTTTGAATCGAATATATCTCTAAATACTTTCGGCAAAAAAGAAATGAACTTCCGACTATACATCTTTTGAAGAATTCCAAGCATTTTGCTTTCAAATTCTTGGCAGTGGTTAAAAAATATAAATCTACAAAAATAAAACCCTTAAAGCATTTAAAAAACCTGAAAATAGTTGGATTCATCTATTTCAATTCCATCAAATTTAACCAGAAATTGAATTGGGAATGGGTCTGAATTTTGAAATCCTTTTCTTTTTCTGATATCTGGAGGGAATTTGTGGCCTAAAAATACCTAAAAACTGAAACATATATGTATATTCCTCAATGTCTCTGTACACACACTAAAAGCTAAACGTGATTGGTGCTGAATGATGCGTTTCTTGATGATGATGATGATACTACAGGTGGTGCTCAGCGGCGGTATCGAAAGCGTCGGAACGGTGCCCTCAGCCGACGACAGGTGACACGCACCTCCTTCTTGAGGAACTGCGAGATGGCCAACGATTTGACAGCAGCCGTAGCAGCTTCTGCGGCACAGCTACTCGCCGCCTTGCCATTATTCGGTGGCGCATACTTGGAGATGTCGAACTTCCTCTTTGGCGTTGTCGCATTCGTTTGGTGTGGACAATGCTGATCGTGGGAATCGCCCGCCTGGGTGTTGCTCAGATCCAGATCCGTGTCCAAACCATCCGACGAAACGGTAAAGATGTCCGAATTATCTCCCAGCTTTTCACTGGGAGAAATGCAGCTGCCAAGACTTCCATTCAGTTGCGGTGTTCTTCTCTGCTGCTGTTGGACTTGACCAGAACTAGGCGTCGAGGTTGCCTGCAGCCTTTGACCATTGTGCAGGGTAAGGAGAAGCTTCTTGCCGGGCGTGGAGTGCTCTTCAGGTGGCGTCGACACGGATATAGATGGTATTCGTCCCCGCTTCTCCGGTGACGGCTCCTCTTTCTTCTTTATTCCAACCTGAGGCTCATCGTAGGCATCTTCAAAGACATCCTCCTCCTCCTCGTCGTCATCCTCCTCTTCTTCCTCTTCGACATCCGCATCGGTGGCCTCAATTTCCGCCTCATCATCCTGCTGCTGATCAACCGAATCCGCCATGGTTTCATCTTCCTCGGGCAAGCTTTCGTTGTCATCGGCATCCGGCGGTTCGGCAAGCTCATCTACATCAGTTGCTGGCGGAGTCATTGCTACATCTTGACGGGGATTCTGCTTATCGCCGGATGGGGATGCACCATCATCCTTATCCACGCCGCCACCACCCGTATTTCCACCACCACCTTCATCGTCTTCATCTTCCTTGCTTAGCAGCTTTTCTCTCGATGCCGAGGTGGTAGTAGTTCTTGTGGTCTGCTCTTCTTCCGTTTCCATCGGTTCTTGCTTTATTGGATTAAACTCCGCAAGACCCATTTTAAGGAAATTAATTCGCTCATTTGGCATGGATCGACCCAGTACTCCGCCTCCATTGCGTCTTCTTTGAGATTTCGGCCAACCAGTTCGATTTGACTTTAGGTTTTTCCTCTTCCTATAATAGGTAGCATACAAATTCTGGCTACTCATCCGACGACTCGTGCCTCCTGGTGGTAGGTTTCCTCGGGCCAAGTCTTCTTCATCGTCGCCACTTCCACCGCTGCCCAAGAGCAGATCGTAAAGATCAAACTCGCTAGTAAAGCAGCAGTCTGATGGTGGTGGCGTCTGCGGGGAATTGGTTGGCTGCTGTTCTCTTCTCTCTTCAGTCACCGGCTCTGGCACTGGCAGCCGTTCTTCAACATCCAGATCGTACTCCTTGCCAGCGAGTTCCAGATATTTGTCTAGTTGCCAGGCAGCGAAACCCGGATTGCTATACTGCATGGCTTTGTCCAAGGCCTTAAGAGCACAGGGTTCCATCTCGTATTCCAGCAATCCCTTTTTGCTCGGCAGTTTGCGAACACCTCGAAAGACTCCTCCCATTCCGGGTTGTTGTGGTGCTGGGGGACGTACTGTTCCAGCTGCCGGCGGATTAGCAATTCTTCTCTTACCCTTGCCCTTGCCCAAAAATACCTTGGCTGCTTCTCGTTGACTTGTGGAAAATTCCAAGCGGCGGGAGTAGCTCGGAACAAGGGTTTGTGTTACAGCAGGAGTCAGCCGACGACTCCGAGCGGGCGAAGAAGCTGCCGTGGGCGTAGGATTTGGCGCTGGAACTGGAGCTGGCGGGGAATGATCGTATTTGTTTTGGCCTCGCCTCATTCTCTTGACAGTCTCACTAATCTCGGTGGCAAAGCGTAGCTCCTCAACCGGTGTGGCAGCTTGGGAACGGGTAGTTCGTGGTGATGAAGGCGCCACCACGGGTTCCTGTTTCAGCGGGGTTCTCAGCTTCGGTGCAGCAACCACTGGAGGCGGTGGCTCCTCCGCCTCGGAGTTCGTTTTGCTCTGCGAATCCTGCCGTTGACGGATGATGCAACTGACCAATGCCAGGGTAGAAGCATGCTCTCGGGGCGATTTCCTCGGAGGCAACTCGGTAATCCTTGATATCTGCTTATTTCGGCAAGTGATGCCACTCCTTTGGCTATTGCTACAACTGGAACTGGAGGTGCTCCTAACTCGCTCTATAAGCTGCACTCGATCACCAAGAGATCCCGATGCAAACTCCCTTTCCAGGAGTTCCGGTGTGCTGGCCTTGCTATCACATTTGGCGGCTATGGCTGTGGCAACGAGGGCAGATCCCTCTAGCTGCTGCTGCAGTTGTTCCTGCTCCTGCTGGTAACGCTGAAGGAGATGCAGCTTTTTGTGCTTGTACATTGAGGACGAAGAGGAGGATTGTGCGGCTTCCTCTTCTCTTTTATTTCTTTTTTCGCTACAGGTTTTATCGCCAAATCATCCTGGGGCTGCTCCTTCTGTTCACTATCCTTTTGCTCGCTGCGGCACAAGGCACAACTGTGAGCTGGCAATGTTTTGGCCATGGGTATGGGACCCATTTCGTAGGGCAGCTTTCTGTATCGCGTGCTGCCATAGTAGGTGTAATAGTGCTCTTCCCCTGCATCCTGCCGTAAGAATACTCTATTCCACAGCTCAGCACTGGGCAGCGACTCGAAGGTATATTGCATTTGTTGTAGTCTCTCGCTTTTACTGCAATCAAAAATCAAATCTACGGACTGCGGCACTGCCTTGGGTTGCTTACTTTTGCTGTTGTTTTTCGTGGGACTCGAGGGCTTCTGGCTCTTACCGCGGCTCCTTCTCGTCGGCGATGATTTGGTTTCGGCAGTTAGCTCAATTTCTCCGGCACTACGATTGATAGTTAAACGGGATAGTCGACGAGCTGCTCTTTGTTCTCGTGTATCCGTGGATATGCGAGTGCTGCTGCCAGCTTTGGTTGTTTTACTCTGATTGCCAGCTATGTAATCCTCGTCACTGCCCGACGACACGCTGCTCTCTAGTTCCAGCTCCATTTCCTCCTCGGAATCACCATTCTCCAGTAGTACATCCAGTTCTTGCAATTCCTCCTCATTCTCTTCCTGCGGTATAATTTCCTTCTTGATTTTGATCTTTGTCTTTGCTGATTCCCCCATCCGATCCTCCAGATTACTGGTCATCCGCCGGCCTCCAGTTGTCTGCCTCAGCTGCTGCTGCTGACGACTGCTGGCGGTGGCCGCTGTTACAATGGCCGTAGCTGTGCGACTACTCTTCCTGGTGGCCGCCACTACTTGGGCCTGCTTCAACTTAATCTTTAGCTTCGGCTGTGACTGTGGTTGCGGCTGCGACTCTTGTTCTTCTGGCTGGATGGGGGCGCTTGGAAAGCGCTGCTGATTGTTGCTATTGCTGCTACTGCTTCCGGTGGACAATTGACGCTGGAGTAGATTCTGACCCGCTGGTGCTCCTGCAACCTTTCTTCTCCTGCCCACAGCCTGAGCTCGCTTGCGAAGATTCGAGGCTGGTAATAGTCCCGAGGATTCTTTAGTTTCAGCTTCGCTCGTGCTTGTGTCCAAGCTGGCGGAGGAGATGCTGTACCGGCCCCTGACATCTGAGGTGGTCTGACGATCTACATCTGTGGGTAGTTCACTGCTGCTCCTCGTTGTGGTTGCTGACACCGCTGTTCTGGGGAACATAAAGTTCTCCGCCTCACCGTTGAGCCGTTGCAACTCAGTTTGGCGGATCTTTTGAAACTTAACAATCAGCGATGGTGAATCCACTTGGTTGGGAGGTCTGCCTCTTCTCGGTGGCGTGGCACATTCCTCCCTGGTTTCCACCACCTTGTAGAGGGATGAAGGCGGCAGCATAGCCCTAATGGGCGGTGATAAGCCAGAGTTCTGTGTAGTTTTCTTACGACCGAAATTCGTTGTCGTTGGCGTTGCGGCTGCCGTGGTTGGATGCTCCTGGCGCTGCAGCTCCGACAAGCTACCAGGTAGATTTCCTGAAGCCTTCTTGCCTCCGGGAGAAGGTGTCTGTGGTGAGGCTGCTTGGAACTTCTCTGAAGAATGCTTGCCCTTGGTTATTCGCTTCGATTTCTCACGCAGTGCTGGCGATGGCCTCTGGCGGGGACTCTGCTGCTGCTCCTCATTACTTAACGTTTCATCCACATCCATTTCCAGTTCACTCTCTTCGGGCTCCTCCGCCAGAAACTTATTCACATTCGCTGAACTAAGTATAAGAGTATCTAGGGCCAGGAAATTCTCAGAATTCTTGGCAAACAGCTCGTGATCCTTACTCTGCAGGTGGATATTTAGGATATCGTATTCCAATTTGCAGATTTCACACACTCCTCCTTGTTTCTCACTCGAATCCTTGGGCTCACGGAAATTAGATCGCGGACTATTTGGGATGGCAGACTGTTTTTTGAGTTGCTGCACAGCCGGATGCTTGGGAAGTTGCTTTTCCTCCTGGGCCGCTGCTGGTGGTTTTTCTTTTTGCGATGTGCGTGAACCCAAAGACCTGCGGGTCATGCTCCGATCCTTCTCCTTGGTCTTGGATTTGGTTAGCAGTCGGAAGGCGCCGTCCTCGCTGCTTAAGTCAATCTTTGGCCAGTCGTCTGGCTGCTTAATAAGATGATAGTAAGGTCTATAATTACGCTTGACAGATTCAATCTTCACATATTGCTTCTTTAGCTGAATGTGATGGGGGCTAGCTGTGGCGGCTCCTCCTCCACTTTCCTTCTTACCCTCTAGGTATTGCTTTAGCTCTGTTTGAATGCGCTTGATAAAACGCTGTGCGTAATCCGTTTGCCAGATGGTATAGCTTCTCTTCACAGATGTCGTGGGAGTGCTATTGCTGCTAGTGTGCGCCACCACCCCTACCGTGCTCCTTCGCACACGACTTAGAATAGCATCCGCTCGCGATTGCCTTTGATTCGGTTTTCTTGCCAAACCATCATCCTGTTGGTAATGGCTTGTGGGTGTGCTTGGTGTTCCTGGTGTGCCGGGTGTTCTGCCTGTTGCAGCACTAACTTCAGGCTTATCGGTGATAAAGTGGGTGATGCTATCGCTCAGAAAGAACTCGAGATGTCCGCCCAGAGCCTTGATATCGGTCTCAATTCGCTTGGCTAGCTGATGATCGCAGATGTCCAAGTAGAACTTAAAGTGGCACAATGGACGTTTGCTCTTGATGACCTTTACTTTTGGAGGAGTGGCTGCTTGTGCTGCTGCTGATGTTGATGTTGCTGCTGCTGCTGTGGTGTGGCTAGTTGTTGTTGTTGCGAGTCTGCTGGCGCTTTGTTTGTCCGACTGCGGTTGCATACCTTCTGGCGCAAATTAGCTGCAGTCAAAGGACCCAGAATTAGAGAGAAAAAAGATTGGACAAAACGCCATTAATTACAAAAGTCACATCTTGAAACATTTAGCCTACAGTCGAACTAGCAAAACAAACAAAATTGTAAGGTTAACAAAGCTCCTTCAGTTCATTTAAATTAAAAAATTAAAAAAAAAATTATCATAGATTCATTTAAATTATAAAATTTTTATAATATCAAACTAATTGTTTGGAATAAAAAAGAAATTAAAGTAGGAATTATAAAATCTGTTTAACTATATAACATTATTTTTGGCGGTCTTGGTAACATTTTCCCTCCAATTATAGAGGACCTTACTTGGAACTTGTAATGTTAGAAGTTGTTAGAACACACGTATGTTTTAGGAAATCCGACTGTAGTTAAGAAACCAACACCAACCGCATTTATAAACTCCTTTGGCCACGAAATAAAATTTGTTAACAAAATAAAGTTAAATCACTGCGAGAACTGGAAATCCTTTCCTTTAGCCTTCTTCTTCTTCTTCCTCTTCTCGTTTCTCCTTGCAGGCGTGTGTTATGCAATTTGGCATTTGGATACACACAGATCGAATCAATAAATGCATTCGAATGCATTTCAGTATGTATAGCCTAAAGGCCCCATCCACAGTTGAGTGTGAGTTAATTTATTTTAATTCCAAACTAAAATGGGCCGACCGAACAGCCCAAGCGGGCGGCAAAAGAAGAAGAAGAAGCAGCAGCTGTGCGGCGGCAGGGTGGCCAGACTGTGAGGGGGTGCTGCCACATTGCTACAAAACTAGTGGTGGCTCAACACAGCAATTGTGCAATTGTGCAGTGCAAAAAACTCACAAAAACCCATGTGTGCATGAGTAAGAATTTAAAATTGTTATTTAGTTAAGACAATATAAACAGAAGAGTAAAATTCTGTGATTTTTTTTGACAATGTTTACAGTCATTTTAATTAATTCTTGATGATAGATTGGTTCAATAAATTAGTTGTTTGTCTTTTTAAACATTCAACTATTATTTTTAATGTTTGCAATTATAACTGCTGAAACCGAACTGCTAAAATGCTATTTTTATCTTTGCTTTTCTTTTTTTGCAAGTTACTTTTAAATGTATTCATCATATTTGCTTTGTTTATTTTGTGTACGTATGTCAAAAACAATGCGAATGAGGTGGCAAAGGAATAATCACCGATGACCGATATTAAACTCGGAACTGCTAAAGGTCCGGCAACCTTTCCAATCCCCCGCACACACGCTCACCCACCCGTAAATAAATTAACTACTCGACAACACAAGTCGACGGGCTTTAAGATAACCTGAAAAACGAGCACATCAGCACGCTGCGCTGGCACTTTTTTCGTTCCCCCCACTTTTAATTCGCCATTACAACACGAAACGGTGGCGCAAAGTAAAATGTGAGAGAACCAAGTGGCAACCCTCAAGCGGCAGCAGCAGCAACAACAACAAAAAGAAAAATAAGAAAAAGAGGACGATTACACAAAGCGTAAGGCGAAAAATAACACACGAAAAGTAACAAAAAAAAAAACCAACAAAGGGAGAGCGGGTGAGAAGGCAAAGAGCAAGCACACAGTCAAAGAAAATAAACACAGTAGCAGTCAAAATAATAGCGATATAATTGTATTCATATTAAATAATATTTATAGGTGAAAGCCCGCCAACGGCTATTGTACAATTGATGTATTTCTGTTTTTAGAAAAAATAAAACAACTTGTCTTAATATAGTATACCCTAGTTCCACTATGTTGGCCGCAGCTGTATATGTATGTCGGTAGAAAAAATTTCATGTGAAGTCGCGGATGAAGCTGACAATGCGGTGGAGGCCGAAATACACACACGCACGCACACAGTGGTAGATGGAAGCCAGCAGAAAAGCAGGCCCAGGGCAACAACAGCAATGGCAAGCAAAACAACAAAAAAACACAGTTTTAGTACAGTGGTCACACAGCCGCCATGTGTTTTGAAATTTCCACTGGAAATTATTCATTCAATACCACACAATAATATGTCTTGAAAACGGCTGCCACAAATGTTGTTTTCCTATGGGTTTGCCGGTCTTTATTCGATTGTTCCGATATGTTTTGAATGGCGTTTGTTGTTGTTGCGAGTACAACCACTGTACCATACGTAGCCGTAGCCGAAGAGTGTGTGTCGGTCGTTAGTGTGTGTTGTTCACAATTTCCGAGTAATACTCGTTTTTATTTCTTCTTTATTCCAATGCACTGTTGGTTGCTGCTCTTTCTCTCGCCTGCGCCTTCCACGCACGTTCGTTGGCAGCAGCAGGGGCAAATAAATAAAAAATGGTGACGAATCGTTTGAAATTCAGCAGAAATGCCGATGAAAAATACGTTGTGCATAAAATAACAAACTAAAAACATACACTCACACGCGCACATATCTGGCGAAGAAGGAGGAGGAAGAATGGCCGATAACTTACCTTTCAGAAATTCACGGAGTTGCTCGGCTGATATATTCCTATAGCCCAAGTCATTTAGATACTGCAGTATAGCCCGTGCATCCAAAGGCAAATGTGACATTTTACTTTTTGCCAAGTCGAGCAATTGTTCTTGATTTTTGTATTGTTAATTTTTTGTTTATATTCCACCCTCACACACACACACACTCACAAGCGCGCTCACACGAATGCAAAATCGCCGTTTCTTCTCTCCTTCTCGTTTGTTTCGTTTTTGCTGCTGCTTCTTCTTATGTTGCTGCTGCCTGCTCGTCTTCGTCGTGCGCCGACAATCGAAAATTTTTCACTGTACTTTTTCTCGCTTTTGTCCACTGGCACCGCGTTGGCCGTATTTTACTAGCATTTACTTGCTTTAAACTAATTAGTTGCAACGCTGAATATACACACTGTAGGGGAAAGATCGGCGTAGCGTCTATTTTGCCTTCGTCCGTCGTCCCGTAGTTAACGCCTTTGTTATTTTTGCAATTTTATACACTTTCCCAGTGTGGGGCGTCGCCAATTCATTTGTGCACGCCCGGTTCGAGTGCGGATATTCACTTTTTTCCTATTTTCACATATTTTCTCGCCAGTTTTGTAACAATTTTCACCAATTGAAAATAAAGTGTACACGAACAGAGCAGCGCACACACGCTCGACCAACCAAATTTTCGTGGTTATCGATAACCGGGGTCGCCAAGTTGTGTCTGGAGATGGGCGATGGTTGCTATGGCAGAGCACTTCAAGGAGAAAAAGTCACGACTTTAAGTAATTATCAAAATATATACTACATTTATCATTATATTAATCAGTGTACATATATCTGGTAATTATTTACAAATTAAAATATTGTCTGCTTAAATTATTCTAAAATTTATAAGAGGGTTGCATTGAATAAATTTTAAATGGGCTTGAATGTCGTGACTACCACCTATCGCCAATGAGAAGTATCGCTAAGCCCGCTGAGTATCGATATGCAGTGCTTGTCATCACTACCACCTACACCAGCGAAAGGTTTTTCGTCGTTGCTTTGTGTGATTCTCCATTCGATTCTCTGTTCTTCGTTCTGCGTCTGCGTCCCGTTCGCGTGCATAAAAAAAAAAAACGAACCTCTTTTTACCCCGTGTATTCGTGCTCAACCATCAATTCGAAAAATGTCTCGTAGTGCGTACCTGCTGTGTGTGCTCTTTTTGGGTGAGTGCTCTGCAACGCGTGGAGAAATCGCGGCTTTATGTAGACTAAAATCCGTTTGATCTGATTTTCGCAGCCTGCAGTTGCTTGATTTACAGTGCGAGCGGAGCGCGGAATTACCGGAGGGGCTACAAGACCACAGAACCGCCCACAACGACCCCACCGCCTCAGACGCCCAAGGAGTTCCTGGACAGCAGGCCGGGTATCTCGACATTCGGAATCATAGCCATCATCTTTACCGTGATAGTCCTCTGCCTGATCTTCTACTACGGCATCATTTGCTACCCATTGTTGTGTCGTGACGAGAAGAAGTATCGGTTTATGGACGTCTCGTCGACGATCACGGCGGCTACCTCGCGCTCTATTCAGTCCATAGAAAACTATCCCGATCAGAAGCATCATCATCAACTGGCCTGATTTCGGATAACGTGAGGAGTGGAAGACAGGTGGTTTAGTTATAGGTACATATACATATATCTCTATTTAGTAACTCGAAAAAGACTTCAACGCCGGCCAGAAACAAAAATGCATCAATATGCTTACAGATTTCCAGCCCTAGATGAAACTTATAAGGGAGTAAGCCGAGGAAATATTTAATTGATTGTTTAAGTGCAATATTTAAAACTATTTTTTATTTTTGGAGTAGTCTATTTTCAGAACTGCTTTTTTAAATCTCACAAAATGTATTTTAAATCAAAAATATCTCTGTAGAAAGAATAGGTTTAAAATAATCCATCATGGATTGATTTTTCTATTTCTATTTCTTCTATTTAAAATTGCACTTAAATATCACTTGGCTTTTGTTTGTCAGTTCCATCGTAGGGCTTTAGTATTAAACATAGCAATAACCAGTTGAGCGGTTCGCTGGAAAGGGAATTAATCATTCATAATTGTAAATTGGGTTTCCCCATACGCATCCCCGACCGTTTCTTTATCTGTTGCTTCTCTTAATCCCAAGGCTCAACAAGTTTTTTGGCCTGTCCTCCGTCCCTTCTACCTTATTTCTTTGGCCTTTCGCTGTGGCCAGCAACAGTTTTTATATCTTTTTGTGCAGGTAGTTTCAGCCGTTTACACATCGCTTTGTGTCCCTCGCCCTCTTTTTTATTTTATTTTGGACAAAGCCGATGTGTGGCAATTGAGTCACGTCGCCTGGTTTTTGTTATTCCCTTAAAAAATCTCATGGAATTTGGCAAAGCAGCCAAGATCGCCCAGTCTTTTTTTTTACAGCCCAATTTGCATACAGAACTAAATCCGAACCCTTTGTGATGCCTCGAATTTTTCCCATCCAAACACACACAGGTTGTACTTAAATCGAAACCAAGTACTTAATATATATACATATATAACATGCCAATTTATAGTCTAAGCGCCAATCTGCCACTACGAATATATTTTATATAAATACGCTTTTAAGCAATCTTAAATTTTGTGCATTTAGATCAGAATGATGAGTATCTTTTGTATACAAAATGTGTCAAATTTCGTTTTTAGACGTATTCCTAGAGTTAAGCATATCCAGTTTTATACAGATATATCTCTTTTTGGACCTTTTTAAATGAATTTTTACAAAACAAAACAAATATGAAAAGAAAATAAATGTTTTTACCGTAGCCAACGGAAAAATGAAACATTTTTATGTAAGATCTTGTGTGTGTTATTGGGGAACATCAAATTGGTAAATATAAATTCTTTTTAAAAATGTTTCTACAGCTCCTAACCGCAGAAACTCTATAATCTCTTTATGTCATATCATTTTTAATCGTCCGCTATAGCTTATAAAGTTCCTTAAAACGGATAAAGTAGTTTTCATTAATTTACAAAATCATTTTACACACATTTGATTGAACAGTTTATTATTCATTTCAATTGTACACAATTTTCATGTTCGCTGGTTTCAATTCATTTAAGTTCTATGTGAGGATGGTATAAAAGGAGCTAATATATAATTAAGAAATATATTTATATTTAGATACGCTGGCTGACTAATGAATATCATTCAGAATGCAAGTGTTTGTTTAATTTAAGTGGAAAATTTGAGCTTGAGCCGCACAGTCTTGATGTGGTGGTGAGTTCTGAACTTTGGGATATCCCTTACAGCTCATCCTTGGGTGCCTCATCCAGATCAATGTCGCTCAGATCAATATCCTCCTCGGTGGGCAGTTGGCCATCCTTGCCGTCCCAGGGATCTACCGAAACGATCGCTGGCTTCTTGGCACCACGCACTGGGGCCGTATGGCCACGGCCGTAGGAGATGTCGCGCAGGAACTCATTGATGCCGTCCTTGGAGAAGGATCCCTTCAGCACGGAGAATTTCATTTTCTTGAAGTTAACCACAGCCATGGCGGGATAACCGAATCCGCCAACTTCAAGGGACTCCTCGAGAGCGGACTGCTGGCCACCTTCGGCCCAGGCCCAGCCCCAGAGCTTCTGCTTGTACTTCTCGCCCAGCGTGCGCAGGGTGGTTAGGAACTTGTTGCGGCACTTGGCATCGCAATCCAGAATGTGTGGCAGGACAGAGACCACGCACAAGGGCTTGCCCTCGCAGGCAGTGTCGAAGGTGGATTCATTGATGATTTCTATCAGTTCGGGTGCCGGTACATTGGCCACATGCTTATCACTAGCCCAAGCAACGATATCTGAAGCTGTGCGTCCTCCATCATACTCCTGGGCATCTCCAGCCTTTGAGTTTGCGGGGAAGAACTTAATGGTGGGATAACCACGCACATTGTACTCAGCAGCCTTGCTCTGGTGAGCGGTAGCATCCAGGGCGCCCAGCTTGACCTTACCCTTGAGCTCCTTGGCGGCCTTGGCCCACTCCGGTGCGAGGTTCTTGCAGTGTCCGCACCAGGGAGCAAAGAACTCCACCAGCCAGATGTCGTCTGAGTTTAGCACCAGCTTGTCGAAGTTTTCATCAGTGAGTTCGATGACCTCATCGCCGGATGAACCGCCGGAGGAACCACCTCCGCCTCCACTGCTGCCACCGAATGCGGCCTGGACCTTCTTCTTAACCTCCGCCAGAGCGGCATCAGCAATGGCCTTAGCCGTGCGCTGGCCATTGAAATCCGTGGGCGACTTCTTGTTGGCTCCGAAGATTTTGATAGTGGGAAAGCCACGTACTCCAAACTGGCCGCCCAGCGAGCTGTCAGCGTCGGCGTTTACAGAGCCCACCTTTACTACTCCCTTCAGCGCCTTGGCCAGCTTCTTGTATTCAGGCACCAGGCTCTGGCAGTGGCCACACCACGGCGCATAGAACTCCACAACCCAGATGGCGTCGTCTCGGAGCACTTCCCGGTCAAAATTGGCAGATGTTAGCTCCACGACGCCATCGCTTGGCGAGTAGAAGGCAGTGGTGCTGCCCACGGCAAAAGCCAACAACAATATGCACGCTGTGGGGGCGTTGAAAATTAGCATAATCTTTACCATAGCTTTTTTTATTACACCAGCTTACCCAGCGGTTTCATGTCTGCGCTTACGTGTCCGATTTCGTCTACGGGTTTATCTCTGCGAGTGTCTACTACTTAATCAACGACGCTTATTTGTCTGTTCGTGTTTTATTGGATTTTTAACAAAAAATACACGTCACCGGTCACCGGTGTCTGCCGATAACGATAAATAATCGTATTAAGCACAGATGCCAGACGGAGCTGATATTTTACCAATTTAATTGCTATGTCTGGTAACTCTTTAAAAGCTTTCTACTCTAGTATTAATATCTATCACTTTTTACTATATTTATGTAAGCACAATCTGAAATTTAAGTTAATAATTAAATCTTAAATTCCAATATGCTTCATATTTTTGACGATCTGGCAACTCGTGTTCGTGGCTGTTTGACACGTAGAGTAAGCAGTTCAAAAATATTCAGATACGACTGGTAAATTATTCAACATTGCAAGTAAGCAGTGTTTTAAATACTGTCTGTTTAGTTTAAAACTGTAAAGTAATTTCCAGCGGAAATTTAACAGATGAAAGTAAATCTGGGAAATTTGTGTATTTTGTTAACCAATTTTTTATCGAAGATTTTCGAAAGAATTTATAACGGCACGAAAATAACAAAAAGTAAAATCCATTTAAAATATAATAATAATAAAATATATAAATTTACATTTATATTTTATTTTATTTTTCAATATCCCATATTTGTTACTTTAAAATACTTTCGAATATTTTTTGAAACCAGAAACATATTTTTCAATTCTTTTAAGAATCGAGAATTTAACTGAATTTGAAAGATTGGCTTTCAAAGGATTATATTTCAGATACCAAATTTAAAATTAAAATAATTTTTAAAATTAAAAGGAAATATTTGTCTTTTGTGGGTTTAAGGGAGTTTGCTATAAATGTATGGTTTTTATTATATATCACATATAGTTGTTATTTAAATGTATATCAGAAATTTCGAAAATTATTTTAATTTTTTGTATTACAGTATTTTTACAATTTTAATTAAATATTTGTACCAAATTGCTGGCTATGTTATTTTATTGATTATTTTAGCAGACACTAAATCGAAGACCTCTTCCCTGAACTTATGTTGTCTCCCCAAACTTATTTAATTTGCGATTTCTTGGAGCTTTAGTTTAATTTACTCGCACATTGTTTTTGGCTACTTCATCTGCCTTGTGTGGGTTGTCTTGTACAGACCACCCCCACCACCCACAGTGACCCCTGACCCTGCGTCTGCGTTTGTTGCGTGCGCATATGAGATAAAATATGTGGTCAATTTTACTTAATAGCGACTTAGTAGTAGTGTTGCCAAGATTTATGTGACGTTCATATTGCCGCAGAGAGACAGAGCAAAACAATTTTCTTTTGCTCCCCCAACTCCATACGCCATTCAAGGGTTAATTGGGGGTAGTCGAGCTTTCTTTTTTTCCTTTCCATATTTTCTGTTGTGCGTGTGTGTGTTATTTTTATGATTATTGAATTTTAATGCATATCGAATGCACACATAAAGATTCAATGACACAAAGTCATAACTTCTCCGGTTGAGGGTGGGAGTGGGAGTGGGAGTGGCCTAACCCTTTATCTGAACTCTCGGAATGGAAGCCCAAATGTAATGTTTATGCCACATTTGGTTTGCACTTTTTGCTTTCAGCATAAAAATAAGTAATATTTGTATTAACTTCAGTGGGTGGAAAGGTCTACCCCAGAAAATCGGAGGGTACTGAGAGAAAATTAGCAGGAAGTTGTGGAAATGTAAGTAATTTACTTTGTAAGGTATAAGTGAATCATAAATAAAATTATTAGTAAAATGTATATTAATATATTTTTTTGGATATTATAACATTTAATATACAAGTAATGCCTTTATTACTACATTTTTGTATATTACTGATTCAATTTATACATCATTTTTAAGGGATAAAATTTAAAAATATTATTAGATATTTTTTTAAGTGTTCTCCCTTCTTCACGCTGGCTTATCAAACCAACATTTCGTATGCCCAGCGGAGCGATCATTTTATTGATACGCCATGGCAAGGGTATGGCGTAAATATTAACCCCTTGTTGCCACTGCTCCTGGTTTGTTGTTTCTTTTTTTGTTGTTGTTGTGTCTGCACTTCTGACTTGGCCTGACGCCCTGTCAAAACACCTTTTCCGAAGGATGTGCGTCTGTCAGTGACATCCAACCTTCGAGATGTGGGGCGTTTATGTGTTGCATGCACTTCTAAAAATAATAATGAAAAATAATAACAAAAACAGGAAATTCGATTTTAAATGCAATATAAAAATAATTTTAAGTTAAAATTTTTTTTTTAAATATTAGGAACCCAGTAAGAAATTTCTTGTATATATTTTCGTCTATATTTATTTGTAAAGTTGTTTTAACTAATTAAAAAAATTGCATAACTAAGACTTATTTATTTCCAAGTTTATGGATATTAATTTTTAAGTTGTGGTCTTTTTTATCTGCTTTTTAACTATAATTTAAAAGCAAACAAAAATCTATTAAGCAGAAATGATTAATACGTTTATAAAACTAGAATGCTAATTTTGCTAAGATAGGCCATAACCTTATGGAGTTTTTCGGCAAATATATTAATAATAAGCTACTAAAATATATTTATATTTTTGTTAAACATTAACACATTTTCTTTGTGCACTTTCAAATTTTATTTCCGAGTGCTTCTTAAGGATTTCTGTTTTTTTTTATCATCGAATGCCATTTTGCAACGTGTCATATTTACTCTCCGGATTTGTCCCATTATTCACTTGACAACACCACGGAGATCCGAGTGCCCTTCCAATTTTTTTTTGTGATTCTCAAGTGCCTTGTGCGGCTTAGTTTAAAGTTGATTCGCTGCCACGCGTTTTCCATTTGCCATTTCCCTTGCCATTTTCCGTTTTCCCTGCTCCTCAGCATTGTTGTTATTTTTGCAAATTTTTCTTTATCTATTTTTCTATATCATTGAACTGTTTTTTATGGGATTTTCTTCTTCATTCGGTTTCATTTTTTGTTGTTGTTGTTTGGATTTTGGTTTTGGAAGGGTGGCAATGGCCATGGCTGGGGAATAGCTTTCGATTTCTGGTTGATTTGCAGGCTTTGGTGAACTCCTTATCGAGTGGAACGTACGCTCTGGGCATATGTGTGAGGAGAGTGAAATGATGATATGTGGCTTATTATTGTCAGTTTTTATGGGATTTTCATGTGTGACTGCATTTGGGTTTTCTGGTGTGGCTGGAATCAACGGGGAGAATATGTTGAAGTGAATGTGTTAGATAAGAAAAGCGTGAAATGATGGTGATGGGTGCGGGGACAATGAGGGAATTTGAGAATATCGGGGGAGGTGATGGGATTAAGGAGATAAATATATGGGAGTTAATTTACTTAAGAAAATATAAAGCTTAATAAAATGATAGAATATATAGGAATGTATTTAAAAATATTTGCTTAACAGATATGTAGCAAAAGTCGGCGCCAAAGTCAGGGTCAATTTTGAAACTACAGGGTAAAGAAATCAGTATTGATAAATAAATAAGAATTAAGTTAGGCTCTTAACTTTGAGTACATGTGTGTATCTTTAATACAAATTGATGTATCACTGTAAATTAAAATAAAATAATATAATATAATATAATATAATATAATATAATATAATATAATATAATATAATATAATATAATATAATATAATATAATATAATATAATATAATATAATATAATATAATATAATATAATACAATATAATATATTTAGCCAGGTTATTTATTTTGTGTTGAAGGGCAATCACTATCACTACCACGATCACTAGAGATGTTAACAGAGGGAAGGCCGCGTACAGAGTGAGGTAGCGCAACGGCTATGCCTGGTATTTATAGTCTCCGAGTAAAGAGAACAGAGAATGTGAGAGCAAGAGAGTAACAGAGACCTCCATAGCTATGCACAGGTGGCAGAGGCAGATAGAGAGAAAGGGGTATCTCTAGGGATAGAGAGCAAGAGAAAGAGAGAGCGAGGGACAGAAATTATATCAAAATAAGTTTGGTTTCAAATATTTCCGATCCATTCTATGGTAGCTATATGATATACTCCTTCGATCCATCCCTACTACTACTGCAAAGTAACTTTCAGATAGTTTAAAAACTGAGAAACTAGTGTACGTAAAAACGGACGGATGGACAGACAGCCGGACATGGCCATATCGACTCAAATGTTTATGCTGATCAAGAATGTATATACTTTATCTACTTTATATATTTTCTTTGGTCGGAAATGATTCCTTCACTGCTTTGCAAACTTCTGACTTAAACTATGTTTCACATAAAGAATATCATACATACATGCATACTAAGTATTTTTTAGAGTTATTATAATAATTAAATTAATAAATTATAATTATTCCCTTCAGTACCAATCCTTTAGGATTCAGGTCTGAATCAGGTTGGAATGTTCTAGACTACATCCTGAATCATTAGGGAGCTTTCATACAAGCCATCCAGGAATCTGCATACAGTAGGCGTTAGCAAACCTGAATTCGGACTACCTGAGGAATTTTTGGGGAATCATTAAGGAATCCTGCTAGGAATTTGTCATGAATTTCGACACGAATTCCCCCCTGAATCAGAAGGGAATTTCGGAAGGGATTCTGAACAGAATCATACAGGAATTTGGGACGGAATCAGGCAGTAATCATGGGGAATTCAGAGAAGGATCAGGTAGGACACTCAAAGGAGTACCAGGCGGAATCCCCAAAGAATCGTAGTGGAATTTAGAGTAGAATCAGATAGGAATCCCAGAGGAAAACGTGTAAAAGATCCCCGGAACCCATCGCCCCATAGTAAATATCTGACGAAATTTATAATAATTTTTTTTTATTTGTTTATTCATTTAAAAAACTATGTAATTTCTTCAATGATTACCACAATTTTTCTTAGCATAACTTCTTGCGTTTCCCCTAAAATTATGTTACGTGTCTTTCCTACCGGCTGTTGCCTCGTCAATCTATAATTAAAATTCATATGTATATACTTATGGATATTAGAATCAAATGGACAATATTTTTCACAATTATACACACCAATTAAGAAGAAAACAATCTCCTTCCGTTCACACCGTCTAGGTTAAAAAATTATCCAGGTTCAAAATCAATTCTGGAAATGAATTTATTAACTGAAT